CTACCATAAGTCATTTTACCTAAATGTATCCATATGACTGTAGCACATATACTGTTCTTGTTTTAATGCAGTCTTTTTTTCTTCACCCACATCCCCCCTGCTGACATCCCCCCCGTTGACAATTTAGTATGCTTGCTTTTATAATTTATCCATACTCTTAGTGTACCATACATACATCTTGCCATAGCCATTTTATATAGGCACATACAACACGCAGAACATTAAAAATGGGACCTCGTTGCACTTTTCTGCCACATGGAAATTCTTCCAATTCACTTGGCATTGGCTCTAATTCATTGTTTTTTAATGGCCACCTAACATTCCACTGTGTGGCTATGCCAAAAATTTTCCAGCCATTCCACTTTTATGGGTACATTTTGCTTCTAGTTTTTTTTTTGCCCTATGAACAACACTGCAGTAAATATCTTTGCAAGTATCTTTCTTACAAGTGCTTGTATTTCCATGGGATAGAAAACCAGGCACAAAATTCCTGAGTGGAAACGTGTTACCAATTTTATTAAATATTGCTAGATATTGGTTTCCAAAATCATATACAGTATTTTACATTTCTACCAGCAATATATGACAAGACCTATATCTTTGCCAGCAGTCGGTATAGTCTTTTAAATATTTGCCCATCTGCTATATATAAATGATATCTCCTTGTTTCATTTTATCTTTTGTTGCTTATCGGTAAGTGTGAGTACCTTCTTATTATGTTGGGTCACTTGGAATTGTTCTCTATCAGATACTTATTTATGGGCTTGGCCCATCTTTCTATGGGGTTTTGATAATATGTGAAAATTCTTTGTTATTAAAATACTAACTTCAGGCTTTTATGCTGAAGATACTTCTTTTACTTCTGTTGTTTGTTTCTTTGTTTATGGAATCTCTTGCCACAGTAAGATTTTAAGTTTTTATGTAGTCAAATATGTCTCTCTTCTCTTTTACAGCTTCTGGGTTTCCAGTCTTGCTTAAGAAGGTCGCACCCACCCTCAGATTGTACATGTAGTCTCCTAGATTCTCTTTCAGGATTTGTATGGTTTTACTTCTTCTGTTTAAGTCTTTGTACATGGTATGAAACAGGCATCCAATTTTATTTTCTCTCCGATGGGTACTAATTATACCAGCACCATATTAAATGCACTTTTACTCCCCGGAATTGAACCACCGCCTTCATCCTATATTCTCCTATTTAATAGTCTGTAAAACTTTAAAAAGACAAAAAAGAGGAACAGCACCAGCATGTGGCTTGCTTTAGCCAGGATCTTGTGTCCCGCCTGGTGACCGGGTTGAATCTCAAGGCCTGGAGAGCTCTGTCTCACCGTATCCCTGCTTCGCTTGCAGGTGCTGCTAGCTGATGATGGGGTGGCCCCTCTGCCCACCGCAGGGCCTGTGCAAGAGGACAAATTCCTGCTTGGAGAAAGGCTGTCTCCTCTGCTTCCAGTTCAGTCCATCAAGGAGGAAGAAATCCAGCCCGGGGAGGAAATGCCACTCTTGGGGAGACCCATCAAAGTAGAGAGCCCGCCCTTGGAGGAGTGGCCTTCACCATGCCCATCTGTCAAAGAGGAACTGTCACACTCCTGGGAGGGTTCGTCCCACTCTCCCACCCCGAGGCCCAAGAAGTCCTACAGCGGGCTCAAGTCCCCAGCCCGATGTGTCTCGGAAATGCTCGTGATCAAACGCAGGGAGGGACGGGAGATGAGTCGGTCTCGCAGAAAACAGCACCTCCTGCCTCCCTGTCTGGATGAGCCTGAGCTACTCTTCTCCGAGGGCCCCGGGGCTTCCCAGCGAGCCACAGAGCTCACTTTGCCCGCAGTGTCCTCCGAGCCCACCTCCCGGCTTGGCTCCTGCCAGGAAGAGGGAGGACCCTTTAAGACACCCATTAAGGAGACACCGCCCATCTCCTCCACCCCGAGCAAGTCTGCCCTCCCCGTGACCCCTGAATCCTGGAGGCTTACACCCCCAGTCAAAGTAGGGGGCCTGGATTTCAGTCCGGTACAAGCCCCCCAGGCTGCCTTTGGCCCCCTGCCTGATTCCCTGGGGCTAACGGATTTTAGCACCACCCCGCTGAAAAGTATCCCACTCTTTGACTCACCCCGAGAGCTCCTCAATTCAGAGCCCTTTGACCTCACCTCTGACCCCTTCAGCAGCCCTTCCCCCTCAGATATGGAAGTCCCCAAGCCGGGCTCCCCCGGGTCACAGGTTGCCAGCCTTTCAGCCAACCGTTCTCTGACGGAAGGCCTGGTTCTGGACACAATGAATGACAGCCTCAGCAAGGTCCTCCTGGACATCAGCTTCCCTGGCCTGGAGGAGGACCCTCTGGGCCCTGACAGCATCAACTGGGCTCAGTTCATTCCCGAGCTGCGGTAGAGGCCTGACCTTACCCTTGCTGCCCAAGCCCTCCGCACTTCCAGGAGCTCGTGCACCTGGGCCATCCAAGCCCTCTGAGTGAGGACAGCAGGCAGGGACTGTCCGCTCCTCTAGCTCCACTTTGCCTGCTTATGCCAAGGCAGATGTCCTGCCGTGGCCGCCACTGGGCCCTCTGAAGCCGCGAGGGCCTGGTGACTGGTCCCTGGGCCACCTGATGCTCCCCAAGAAAATCTGACTCCTCACTCTCCCTGCTAGGAGCTGAAGGGTGAGAACAGCAAAAGAAAGGGTGAAAGAGATTAGGAACCCCCCCCCCAAACTGTGCCTGTGCCCAGCAGTCCCCCACCTTCCTTGCTCCTTGTAAATAGTGTATATTCTCCAAATTAACCTCTAATTATAAATATAAGCTTATTTCCTTAGATCATTATCTAGAGACTGCCAGAAGGTGGGTAAAGTGACAAGGGGTTTCAGTTTGCTTCTGTTCCTTGCTTTTAATTCCCAGAGAAGGGAGGACCTGCAGTGCATGGTTTCTTCCAGGCCTGGGGTACTTGCCTCAAGGGCTCTTTACTGTAGGCACCCAGACAAGCTGATCTGCTTCCTAGGGTCCCTCTTATTGCCCCTCCCTCCCACCTTCCCACATTTCCAAGTCAGCTTTCCTGCACAAAGAAATCCTGGTAAAAGGTTAAAAGGTCTCGTAATGGGTCAAGAGTTGAATTGGGGGTGGGGGAATGGATGCATCTGAAGCAAAGAATGGGTGTCCAGATGTGCTCCCAAGAGATGTTTCTCTGATAATATCCCTAATCACGCCAGAGAGACTAGCATTGCCAAGAACTTGGCCCAAGGCTTGAGAAGACTAAAAGGGCCCTGTCCTGCCCTGCCTAGCTTCCTTAGCTCACTCACACCTCAGCTTTGCAAAGAGCCACCCTAGGCCCCAGCTGACCACATGCATGTGAGCCAGCTCAAGAACACTACCATAACTCAATAAAATCCAGGGTGGAAGTGTGGTCTCTGGTGCATCAGTGTCTGGTCCCTGAGGCGTAAGGAGGGGTTGGAGAAGAACATGAGAAATATTGGACATGGTGGTGACAAAGAAGAGGTAAGGCCTGAAGCTGAGAAGAAGCAGGTGAAGGAGAGTGCTAAGGGCTTTGGCCTGGACTGCCTCCCAAACTGCACAGGCACACATTTTTAGCACAGAAACTTCCAGCTTTCTCTTTAGAACCCCTGAAACTGATGGTTAACTTAGGCCTTTTAGAGATCCCTGTAAGGGAAAGGCCTGCAGAGGGGCAGGACCATCCCCTCCTGCAGGATTAGGGAAGGATAAGCACAGTTTTAGATGCCTCATGGCCACCTCCACCCTAATCCAGGTCAGCCGGCTCTGCTTCTTTTCTCTTCCTGCCCTTCTAGGCAAGCCCTTCCCAGGAGCCCCTCTGGTTACCATCTTTTGCAATCAAAACTTAGGAGTCCTATCCCATGCCTGTCTCGCCTGAAAGGCAGCCAGGGCCCAGGGGACTGATGAGTGCTCCCAGGGAGAGGTAAGGGCCTCCTCCTGCGACACCATCCAAGAAACATCACCATAGCAACCCCAACAGCAAACAATGCTGCCAGGAAAGTCTTCCCTTACCAAGCTGCTCCTCCTGGCAGTCAGGCCCAGAAGAGGAATGGCCAGTAGCCCACAGAGACAACCCAGAGGACGGAATAATCCACTCCATGTCCAAGAACCTTTCCTGCAGGTAGGAGGTGGGGCCCCATCTCCACAGCCTATCTGTTTGCACCCTGCTGGACTAAGGCCTCCCCCTGGGATGGGCCATACTTTCCTCTGGTCAGTAGATTGGCCCAGAGCTCTCCACTTACTTCCTCTCTTAATCCTGTACTACTGTGAACACAGAGCTCAGAACAGAGGAAAGGAGGTGCCTGGTTATTACACCTCCCAGCCCCACCTACTAGGGTGATGCTGTGGAAATGACAGAGGAGTGGGCCCAAGAGACAGGTGAGCTTTTAGGATCAATAAAGTCCTAGGGTGGAAAGGAGGGAGAGTCACTTTAGAAGAGCATATATGATAAGCAGTGCAGACAGATGGCTCAAGTCCCAGCTCTGCCACTTGGGTGAGCTATTTGCCCTCATTGTGTCTTGCTTTTTGCATCTTTGAGATAGGACAGTAACAACGCTTGCTCACAGGGTTATAGGGTTAACTGAGTTGTGGATGTATTTAGAACAGTGTCAATACATATTTGCTACTGTTTATTTCACGGGCGGTGGGACACAGAAAAGGGAAGGAGGCAGCCTTCTAGCTGTTTTCCATACTTGCTTGCATTTGGATGAGAAGTGAGGGAAATGCACCAATGACAGTAACAGGTCAAGTCCGGGAGAGAAGAGCACCTGGGCTGCATTCTCCCGAGAAAGCTTTTCCTTCTATGCGCGTTGCCCGGTAATGGGCACTACCCCTCACTCCACCCCCCACCCCATTCCCACCCCCACCCCTCAGTATCCTCAGGCTTAGGAGCACCAGCTCCAGGCAGGGGCGCGGGAGAGCCAGAGCGCGGAGGATGTGGAGTAAAGAGTGGAGAGGAGGGAAATCAAAACCCAACAGACGGAGAGAGAGCGAAAGCTGAGGAATCCTACAGAGCGGACATAACTTCTGACGGCAGGGCAGGCGCGGAGAGAAGGGTTCCGGCCAGGCCACCGTGTCCTGATGAGAGTCCGGGGTCCGAGGAGGCCGGCAGCTTGTCTCTGCGGCTGCTCCTGGAAAGAGAGGCCGAGCGGTCCCCCCCGGCACCCTTTTGTCTCTCCCTAGATGGCCCACGCCCGAGAGCCCCTCCTGACCCACCAACCGCCGGCCCGGCGTGAGTTCCTCCTCCCCAGTGAGCCCGGGGAGTGGCCCGGCTTCACCCGGCAGGCCTACCACCGGCTGGCCCTGAAGCCGCCGCCTTGCACCGAAACGAAATCCGAGGTGCGCCGCCGACTGATCCGCCCTTGGAAGGACGCGGCGCCACACACGTGGGGCTTTCACACGTGGCTCGATGTGGGCCGTTTGCCAGCCACCTTTCCCACCAGGCCCGACAGGCCCTACGACAGCAACGTGTGGCGCTGGCTGACGGACTCCGGGGCCCATGGCCGCCCCCCAGCGGAGCCTCCCATCCCTCCTCCCTCCTGGATGGGTCCCAACAGCTTTCTGACCTTCATCTGCTGTACTCCCATCTTCGCGGACGACAACAGGAAGAACCAGGTGACCGTCAGGACGGTGCAGGAACTGAGGGAGCTGGAGAAACTCAAGCTGAGGAGTGAAGCAAGGGCACCTCCCCTCGACGCCAAGGGCAACATCCTGCCCTCGAAGAAGTTCAAGAAGTAAGAGGAGCTCCTTCCTCTCTCTGATTCCTGTTTTCTGATGACGCCTACCTTGGTACTCTGACCTTCACGCCTTTGGGCATCTGACAACTAAACTGCTCTGAGTGTAGCTGGAAGGAAGGTGTGGGAGCAAGAGAGGGGACAGCCAGGGGAGAGGCTTAACCGTTTAACTAGAATGCAGGGGATACAACTAGGTGCTTAACACCTGCTAGGCCCTGGCAGTACAGAGAGATGTCATCCAGTCCCTTCCTACAGGGAGCTTATGAAAGGCAGAGACCTACCTACATGCATGGAAAGGCAGCTGACCATTCAAGCCCACGCGTGCTACGTGCCCAAAATGTGACACGGATAGAGAGTGTGGTAAGAACATCAATTACTAGTGGAAAGTCCTGAGATCTGGAGTCAGAGGTTTAGGTTAAAGTCCAGACTAGGCAAATTGTTTCGTTTTTCCAGACTCAATTCTATCCTTGATAAAATGGGGACAGTAAACGCCATGTCTTCCAACCTCGGTGAAGAGAAAATGGGTAATGAATATATGAGAGCACTATACAAAAAAACATGTTACTACAGAAATTCAGAAGAAGGAGGGGGTGCTGTGGGCTGGAGCATTCCCCCAGGAAGGCTTTGTGGGGAAACCAGGTAAAGGCTGGAAGGGTAGGAAGCCCTCAGAAAGGTAGAAAGAAGGGGGTAGAGGATTGACTGGTCTGAGAAGAGACAGCAGTGTGGAAGGAGTTACTGGAGTACCCAACAGCCCTCCCTCCCTGCCACTGTGGGAGCACACACAAATCTCCAGTCTAGTCAAGGGGATAAGAGTCAGGAAATGGGGTGGGGAATAAGGACAGAATATCTCAAATTCCAATCCCAAGGGCATTAACAGAAGCACTAAAGGATTGGAGGGGAGGCTGTGGAGATTTTTGATTTTTTTTTTTAATGCCAACAGTTGGTGATTTTGAGAGAAGATTATTCAGGACCTTGGCTTCTCTCTGCAGCCCTCGCAGTACAGATTATTGGTTGCTAGTATGTGCTAACACTAGGGATACAAAGGTGATGAGACTTAGATCACTCCTCAAAAAATAAAAATAAACTTCAGTGAAATAATAGCGCCAGATGTTCTAATCACTTGAGTTATATTACTTATACCCTCCCACTACCCCAGATAGAAACTATTACTATCAACTCCATTTTACAGAGGGGGCATCTGAAACGGAAAGGTCACTTAATTTCGCCCAAGTTCATATGGCCAGTAAGTGGCAGAGCTGGGATTGGAACCTAGAGAGCTCAGTTTCAGAACTGTGTTCTTAACCTCTGTGCTCCACTTCCCCTCCTGTCTACCTGGGGAATCAAACAAGTTCACAGCTACTCCTGATGTGATATAATGTTCTATAAAGACAGCATAAGAGAAATACAATTATCCATATAAAGAGCTTAGCACAATGCTCGGCAAACAGGAAACCTGTGTGTGATGGTGGAAGCCTTGTGGGTTCAAGAGCCAAACACATCTTAGGTTGCAGTCTCCCCAGCTCAATCCCAAACTTACTATACAACAAAGAAACTTGACTTTCTTTAAGCCTGGCTTCCTCAAGTCTGGATTGGAGATGTACCTGGTACCTTGCAGGGTTGTTAGAAGACAAAAAGGCACAGTGCCTGGTGTAGAGAAGGGGGCTCAGTAAATCGTGTCATTAGTACACTGTCCCCATGAGAGAAGGATCCTTGTTTCCCTCTGTTTGCTGCTGGAGGCCCAGTCCCTGGAGCCAGGAATGAAAGAGTCCCAGGCAAGGTTTTGCTGTTCACGGAGGACGTGGTACCTGAGCTACGTGGACCTTGAAGAATGTGTACAAATTCACCAGGTGGGAACCAGACAGGATGGTGGTAAGAAAGGCCCATCCAGTCCTGTTATTCCTTTCGAGCAGTTCTCTAAGGCATTAAAATATAGTTAAAAATGTCTCTAGATCAGCGACCAAGCACATTTTGAACATGAGAGACCCAGAAAGGACTTCAGACAGGTCTAAGCTTCAAGAAGTCCATGATATTGGTGAGAAATAGAACATTTATACATAAACCCATGATGTTGAGAAATAAAACATTTATACATAAATAGAACATTTGTACATATACATAAACCCATTTATACATACATAAACTCTGGTTGATGGTACATACAATCACCTGGGTCTTTTAAAAAAATGTGTGAGACCCACCCATGAGATTCTAATTTACTTGGCCTGGGGGGTGTGCAGCTTGAGCACCGGAATTTGCAAAAGGCTCCTAGGAGTGATTCTAATGTGCAGCCGGGCCTGAGAATGTCTGATGTAAACCAAAGACAGTAAACAGGAGGACATCTACTGGACGAGGTGCAAAGCATGTTGAAACGGGAAATTTGCCACTATTCAACTATGTTTTTTAAAAGGTCCATTTCTCTCGGTTGAACCTAACACTACAGGCCTGTAGAAGAGGGAGCCATCAGATCAGGTGTCATATGGCAGCAGGTCAGAGCAGGAAGGGCTCTGAGACCTCATCAAGTTCACCAGATGAGAAGGGGCCCTTGTGTTTCATTCTCTCTTCTTCCTGCTGGCACTGTGTTAGCAGAGGAAGTGGGACTGAAAGACAAAATCTGGATAATGAGATACAATATGTAAAAAGGATAGGAGACTGACCATCTAAACAACATAATTTCACCATCTTAACACCAAACACACACACAGGGTGCATGCTATCTGGATAGGCCAATATCCAATCAGGAGGAGAGACAGAAGTGATTCCCTACAACCTGATCATTCGTTAGCTTGTGTTAGCTTAATAGAAACATATTGGCAAAACATGGCTTTATACCTCAGTCTCAGGATGCGCACGACAAATATACTTTCAGAATACAAATGCATTATTTTCTTGTGGCACTCACATCAATGACAACAGTTGGTCACCCTTTGCCACCATCAAAAATCTAACAGGATCCCAATGATGATTCTTTCTTATTTTGAATGATTTCAGTTTGGGATCATGATTGGTTAGCATTTTATCATTGTCATAAGTTGAAATGATTCAGATTTTTTAAAAAGCCTACAGAATTTTTAAAAGTATTCTCTACATCCAGTGTAAGGCTCGAACTCACAACCCTGAGCTCAAAAGTCGGATGCTCTACCGGCTGAGCCAGCCAGGCTTCCCAAGTCCATAGAATTTTTAAGCATGATTTGATATTTAATACTAAGGCTTTTCAAAAAAATTTTTTTTCAAGAGGAACATGAAGAATTATAAATTTGGGGGCTTACCTTTGTAGCATTGTGAAAATAAACTTTGAGTAAGCTATGAAAAAAAGCATCAAACTTTTCCTTCTTACTCCTTCCACCATGGCTGCATCCCTCTTTTGACCTCTTTGTTCTCTCCACACCCCTTTCCCCCAACAGGTACCGGCACATCTCAGCTGGTGAAAGGTTTGAGCCTGGAGGCCTCCAGCTCACGCCCAACCCACTTCCCAATGATTTCGCCAGGGGCTGGCCCTGCCCAAACCCTCTGCCTCATTACCAGGAGAAGGCGCTAAAACTGGCCTTCCTGCCTAGTGCACCCCTGAGCCAGGACCTCCTGAGGAATTACCAAACCCTGATAGAGAACCGGGTTGCCTTGCCCCTCTATCAACTCTCCAAGGCACAACCTGGTAAAACCTTAGTGAGGAAGACCAAGAGAAGACCTGGACAGAGCTAGAAAAGCCTCCAGCTGGGCAGGGACCACTGTGGGCTACAGCGTTCTCAACCAATGCACCTTCAACAAGAAGCTTCTGCAGAACAGAACCTCTGCACCATCCCTCCAGCTTCAGGCCACCTCTGTCCCCCAGGCTCCTAGAGACTCTACTTAAACTCTAAATGATTATCTGTCTTCCTTGGAGGATGCTCTCATAGCAGGTGGGAGGATTGAATCAGGTAGAGCAGAGAGAGCAGAGGAGGATACAGTTTTTAGGGACAGAATGAGGAGTGGGGAGGAAGAAGGTGTGTGTGTGTGTGTGTGTGTGTGTGTGTGTGTGTGTTGGGGTGTGGGGAAAGGCACTGTAAGAAATGTGAATAAGAAATTACCTTTACTCCCATAACCCATTTGGAACAAAACTGGGATTGGTCAGGGTACAGGAAGCTTCTTAGACAAAATAACCTCAATTTCACACCTCCCTAGACCATTTTAATGTTGGACAGAGACCAGAAGCAACTCTGCTGGGTTGCAGTTCCCATGCAGGGTCTGGGGGAGCAGAGATCAGGCCAAGGCTGGTGCTGGAAGATGGAAAAGTCAGGTCTGAGGAAGGCTGACCAGGTCTCTGTGGAGGAACAAGAGTACAACAAAGTGGAGATTCAAGGCAAAATAGTAGTCACCCCAGAGCATAGTGTCAGGGCCTTGGGCCTATGTTGTGGTTGACCCCAAATGCCTCAGCTTTTGTCATGGGGGGCCAGAGACAAAAGGCCTAGAGTAGAGACAGGCAAATCGGGTTGGTCAGAAATGTGCTGACCCCAGCTGGGGTGGAGATTGGGTATGGGAAACCCAGTAGAAGGGGCAGCAGGGAGGTGGCTGGAAGGGGAGAAGTTGTATGGTAGGGGCCTACCTCACCTCCTCTTGCCCCTGTGACACCCCAAGTTGGTCGTCTTCCTTGGCTGGGATTCTCCTAGCCTGCTGGCCACTGCCCTCTCACCCACTTTTCTCGAGCCCCCTAGGTACCTGGGTATCAAAACCCCACCAGGGTTCTTGCCCTGGTTTAACCACTGACCAGCTATATGACCTCAGGCTTTCAGTTTCTTCCTCGGCACAGTGGGAGTTACGAGGGTACAACTAAGGGGAATAAATAAAATAAGTGAAGTACCCGCGAAGTGTCTGAACATTGGAGGCCCTCCATAAACGAAGTTATCAACCAATCATTACTCATGGGATGAAAACAATGGATGGGCTATTATACAGTCAAAAAAAGGAATGAAGTACTCATACCTGCTACAGTGTAGATGAACCTCGACAATATCACACTGAGGGAAAGGAGCCAGACACAAAAAGCTGTATATGGTATGATTCTATTTACATGAAATATCTAGAATCGGCAAATCCATAAAGACAGAAGGTAAATTGCCAAGTGCTGGGGGTGGGGGAAATGGGGACTGACTGCTCAGTGGGTACAGGGTTTTCTTTTAGGGTGGTGAAAATATTTCAGAATTAAATAGAAGTGGTGGTTGCGCAACATCACAAATGAAAAAAATGCCACTGGATTGTATACTTTAAAAATGGTAATTGCTCAGGGAGCCTGGGTGGCTCAGTCGGTTAAGCGTCCGACTTCTGCTCAGGTCATGATCTCACAGCTCCTGTGAGTTCAAGCCCCGTGTCGGGTTCTGTGCTGACAGCTTAGAGCCTGGAGCCTGCTTCTGATTCTGTGTCTCCCTCTATCTCTGCCCCTCCCCCACTTGTACTCTCTCTCTCTCTCTTTCTCTCTCTCTCTCAAAAGTAAATAAATATTAAAAATAAAATGATTACAATAAATAGGGTGTGATATAGTGAGTTTCCAAATTTTCTTCTAGTTCCAAATCTAAAGTTCTATTAATAGTTCTTCTCCTTAACACTTCTCCCCCTGATATGTATGGGGGATGGGTGGGGGCGACCAGAGCCAAAGGGTGAAGGAGAATTCTCTCAGTACTCCAGGGGCTTGCCAGAGCTCTGGGAATGTGCCCATTCTCCCCACTCTGGGTTAGGAATAATGGTGGAAAGCAGGAGGTCCCCTCACCTAGGATCCTAACATGTCAGAGCTGGGCAGGCCATGAGGACACAAGTCGAATCCCCTCAGTGTTTAGGTGGCCAACCGAGGCCCATGGGCAAGTGACTTGCTCGGGGCCACAAAGCCAAGGAGTCCCTGCCCCTCCTGGCAGTAGAAAGGAGGCTGGTTGCTAGGACTCGGGGGCTTGTTTTCTCATCCAGCCTCTCTTCCGTTATTCTACTTCTGCCCATGATGCATGGATTTTATCACCTCCACAATGAAAGGCCCTGGGGAAACTTAGAAGGTTGGTATGAAGGTTTGGGGGGTGGGAGGAAGTAGGCCATTGGCGTTCTTCAGAGAAGGCTGCCTACCCCCTGGCCTGGAAGGTGCAGGAAAACAGAATGGTAAGGTGCACTTACACAGACTCCTGCCTTGGCCAACCAAGACCACTCAAGAGGTTGCTAGCCTCATATCAGAAGGACTTCCACCCTTCCCACCAGCTGTTTGCTCTGTTCTCTGGATAGCAGTCTTTTTCCTGCTGTCAGGGAGACCACAGCATTATCAGAGGCCTTCTTGTCCACTGGCCACCCTAAACTGCAGAAGTAACACCCTGGAAATTCCTGATGCAGTGGGCCGTGGAGATCTGAGGGACAATGATAGCATCCATACACCCTCCTGGTCCTGGGGTCTCTTCCAAGGCAAGCCCCAGCTCAACCTGCTGGCAACCATGAACATCCCTCATCCCCCAACCCCACATTCACTAATAAATATGGCATCCTCGAAAGCCTCTGTTGGGGTGGAGTGGGGGATTCCTGTAACCCAGACCTGCCTTAGAGATCTACTGTCCTACCACAACTTTTGACGGGAAGCAGGGTGAGCATCCCTCCCTCGACATATCACCAACCCCATGGGACACCTTAAGACCTGCTGAATGCCACCAGCCTCATGGAAACTGATTAATCTCACCCAGCATGGAGGCCTCAGAGCCGCTTCCGGGTCAACACCTCCCCTTCCTCAACCACCCTATCCGTAAGCCAGGTATAGTCTCATGATCTGGATGGCCAAGGCCAGTTCAGGTCCCTGAGTTACCAGGGCCTGAGGGATGGTTGGGGGTCAGTGAGTGCTGGAGGGACTGGGAACCCCTGAAGGAGATGCAGGGGTTTTGCCAACCATGGTCTTCAGTCTTCAGTCTTCATTCTTCATCTGGCTCTCTGCCAGTGTTGTCCTGTCTAATTGCCATCCCTCAAAAAGCCCCATTGCTGCTCCCCAATGTGACACATCAGACATCCTCTCTCCAGGCTTCCCCAGATTCACTTCCCACCTTCCTCAGGGCCCTCTGCCCTGTCATTTCTACTCATCACTGACTTGCTTACTCCAAGCCCTTTGTCTTCTTGCTTCTCTTCCACCTCCAAGCCCTCTCCTATTTGTACTGTCTGCTGAACCACATATATATATTTATTTACAATGTAAATAATTGCTTCTTCCTATTTATCATATTTAGTGGTTTTCTGTGGCCACTCATACAGTTCCCCATCTCATGGTAGTCTCAAGCCAACACACACTCTGTAGGTCCCAGGACAGAACCTCACAAATGCCTCCATGTTTGTAAGCTAATGCTATTGCATCTTGCCATTGTTCAGAGGCAAAGGTTTTGCTGGGTGGCTCCCCTCGGCCCACCATCACTCCCACTGGATGTCCACTGAACACTGACACTAGGTATCATATATGGTTCTTAGAGAATAGTCGCTGACTTCGTTAGCATGAATGTCACTAGGAAATGGAGGTCATGTCTAGGGGTGCCAAGGGCAGGCCCAAAGCTTAGGCAAGGAGGAAGGGGGAAATGGAGGGAAATGGAAACAAGAAAGGAAGCAGATAAACACAAGAGGGAGGAAGAGAAATATTGAAGCCAGAGGAAAGGCAAAACAGGAGTCTCTGAAGCTCAGAGGTCCAGAATATTTGGTGGCTTTGGGCAGCTTGGTCAGATTCTCTGAGGTTATTTGCAGGATCCAGATTTTGGCAAAGACCCCCGCGGTGAGAAGAGTTGGCAAATAAATCCTATGCATGCAAAGGAAAGAGGGGATGAGTAGAATAGGGTTTTGAATGATCCCCTAGGGCATTAGTTGGATTCTGCGGCTGAAAAATTCAGGTGGGGAACTCGACAGGCTGTTCTGGTGTCTCATCACCTGCGTAGATGGGGTAATAACAACATGTTTCCTCCTGTGTCCACTGGAGTCCTGCTGCCCAATGCATTCAACTAATGTCTTAGCCTGGTAGTTTTTGGGGTGGAGGTAGGGTGATACATTTCAAAACTGGTATGACCTCCTGGGACCTTTGCTGGACAGGAGAATTCTGGAAAACAGCTTCATTCCTGTCCTCAGCAGATCTGACAGGGCCAGAGGATAAAGACTGAAATAGAACTGGCTGCCTTTAACCTTCCACAGGCTCAAGGGAGCTGTTTGTCTAGCTCTGAATAACCCATTCTATGAAGAATATTCTGGGAATTTCCTTATGTGGTAGAGCAATGTCTGGGTGATTTCACTGTGCCAAATGAGCTCTCCTCCCCATCCCTACCATCAGAGATAAGAATTGGTACTAGTCAGCCTTGAAGAAAAAAGGTTACAAAAAGAGGTATAAAGATATTCAGAGGCATGAAAGTGTATCACAAGGAAGGTGGGAACCAGTTCATCTCCATCTCTACTAAGGCTTGGACAGGAAGGCAGGGATTCTGAATATAGGTACAGGGATTTAGATAAGATATAAAGAACTTCCTGAGTCAGTGGAGAGTTGCTGGCATAGATTAGATCAGGTTCAAGGAACCAGCTGTGAATCTATCTGGGCCAGTGCCATCCAATAGAAATATAATAGACCGGTATATGTAACTTTAAATTTGTTAGTTGCCATATTAAAAAAAGTAAAAATAAACCAGTGAAGTTGATTTTTATAATGTACTATATTTTATTTAATACAATAGATCTGAAATATTATGAATATAAAATAATGTAATCCATGTAAAAATAGTTGAGATATTTCACATTGTTGTACTGTTTTCAAAATCTGGTGTATATTTTACACTTACAGCAAAGCTCTCTTCAGCCTAACCACACCTCAAGTGCTCAATAACTGTATGTAGCTGGTGACTGCTATATTGGTCAGCACAAATCTAGACTTGCTAAGGGTTGTCTGACACCCAATGGCAAGTATAAGGTGTGATCTGGTTTTATCTGAAGGCAGAAAGTTCTCTAGAGACCTGAGAGCCTCTGAGGGTAAAAGTCAAGAAAGCCTTAACTTAGGAGCCCCTCTCAGCCTTCCTCATTGCCAGAAATACAAAGACCCATCACCCTCTGGCTGTTCTTAGAACCCACACAGCAGTGTTCTGGGTTCTCTTTCAGTAGAGGGAATCCCAACTTCCTCAGGTCTGTTGGACTTGGGGTTTGGCGGCTAGTCAACCCAAATGGGAAGAGCACTGCGCCAAGCAGGGCAAGGAAAAGGGTTCATCCTGGGGTAGACAAGGTAGCTCTATTCTCTCCATGGCAGGAGACAATGCTCCATACCTCAGTCAGTCTTCCTGGTGCAAGTGACTGGTCACCAGAGGAGCCAGGCTGGACAGAAAGGATGGACAGGTGTAAATCTACCCTGTCTGGGGTGTATGTGGGGACAAGCACTGTCTCAGCCTACCTTATCTTACCTGCAATATTCTGAGTTCTCTGTCTGAGACACCCTTCCTCCAGGTATGTGCACAGCCTTCACCTTGTTCTCATCTCGGCACAGTGTCATCCACCCACCACCCTACCCCCATCACTCTCTCTCCTCTCATCCTGCTCTAGTTTTGTTCAGCATTTACCACAACCTGACATTATAAATGTCATTGTTCCTTGTCTGCCTTCCACGTTACAATGTGAACCCCATGAGGGTGGGGCCTTCATTTGGTTCACCATCATAGGCCCAGAGCCTACCTCAGTGTCTGGCACATAGTAGGTGCTCAATAAATATTTTTTTGACTGAATGAAAGGAAAACTTGCTATAATTCAGAGGAGAACCAGTGCAGTGAGGGAGCCAAATCTCACACTTCAATTTTTCTCCTCATGAAATTTCTGAATCTGGATCCATTCACTTCAACATCTATGTGAACCACAAGATGAAATAAATGAGAGAAATTACAGATATTTCCCAAGTATCTTGGAAGGGAATATCTCCACTTCCTCTGTTCCTCACTGTAGAAGACTGGTTTAATCTTCCTGAATAGTGCTCCTGGAAGTTTTCTCCCCCTGTGTCTCATCATTAGACCTCAATGTAGTTATCCCTTGTTAATGAATTGGTTTGTTGAACTCTATAATCTTTAGGTTAAAAAAAATGACCAGGGGATGAGCATCTGGCTGGCTCATTGGAAGAGTGTGTGACTCTTGATTGTGGGTTCAGGCCCCATGTTGGATGTAGAGATTACTTAAAATAAATAAGCTAAAAAAATGACTAGGGGAGGGGAGTGAGGTAAATTATTGGCAAAGACACAGACCACCCAGCTGAGGATACAAACTGCCTTCAGAGGTAAGTTATTGGCAAAGACACAGAACACCCAGCTAAGGATACAAAGTGACCTCAGAACATTCCCTGGCACTCTCCACCATCATTTTTTTTTTTTTTTAGAGTTAGACGAGGCTAGATTTTTTTAAGCCAAAGTATAGTTGGCATATACTATTAGTTCCAGGTGTACTACATAGTGATTTGACAATTATATACATTATGCAGTGCTTGCTATTGTGAGTGTGGTTACCATCAGTCACCCTACAAAGTCTTAAAATATTATGGACTATATTCCCTAGGAGATAATTTTCACCCTCATGAATTATTTTTTATAGTTAGAAGTGTATCTCTTGGGGTGACTGGGTGGCTCAGTCTGCTGAGCATCTGACTTCAACTCAGGTCATTGTCTCATGGTTTGTGAGTTCAAGCCCCATATTGGGCTTGCTGCTGTCAGCACAGAGCCTGCTTCAGATCCTCTGTCCCCCTCTCCTTCAGCCCCTTCCCCCTTGTACTCTCTCTCTCAAAAAAATAAATAAAACATTTAAAAAAAGTTTGCACCTCTTGATCCCCTGTACCTGTTTTGCCTATCCCCCTAATTCCTTCCCTCTGGCAACCATCAGTTTGTTCTCTGTATTTATGGGTCTGTTCCTGCTTTTTGTTTATTCATTTGTTTTGTTTTTTAGATTCCACATACAGATGAAATCATGTGACATTTGCCTTTGACTTAATTCATTTAGCACACTACCCTCTTGGTCCATCCATGTGGCTGAAAATGGCAAGATCTCATCCTTTTTATGGCTGAGTAGTATTCCAGTGTGTGTGTGTGTGTGTGTGTGTGTGTGTGTGTGTGTGTGTGTACTACATCTTTATTCATCTATGGGTAGACACTTGGATTGCTTCCATATCTTGGCTATTGTAGTTAGTGTTGTAATATGTATAAGGGTATACATATATCTTTTCAAATTAGTGTTTTCATTTTCTGTGCATAAATACCCAGTAGTGAGATTTTATACCACATCTTTATCCATACATCTATTGATGGACATTTAGGTTGCTTCCATATCTGGCTATTATAAATAACACTGCAATAAACATAGAGTGTATATATCTTTTTGAGTTAGTGTTTTTTTTAAGTTTATTTATTTACTTTGAGAGAGAGGGAGAGAGTGAACATGCAAGTGGTGGAGAGGCAGAGAGAGACAGAGAGAGACAGATCCCAAGCAGGCTCCACACTGTCAGCACAGAGCCCGATGCAGGGCTCAAACTCATGAATGGTATCATGACCTGAGCTCAAATCAAGAGTCAGACGCTTAACTGATGCCCCTTGAGTTAGTGTTTTTATTGTCTTTGGGTAAATACCTAAAAGTAGGATTACTGGATCATATGATAGGTCTATTTTTAGTTTTTTGAGGAGACGCCATACTGTTTTCAGACTGGCTGCACCAGTTTGCATTCCCACAAACAGTGCAAGAGGGTTCCCCTTTCTCCACATCCTCACAACATCTGTTGTTCTCGTACTGTTGATTTTAACCATTCTGACAGGTGTGAGGTGATATCTCATTATAGTTCTTATTTGCATTTCCCTGATAATAAGTGATGTTAAGCACCTTTTTTCATGTGTCTGTTGGCCATCTGTATGTCTCTGGAAAAATGTCTATTCAGTAGGTTGCCTTTTTGTTTTATTGATGGTTTCCTTTGCTATGCAGAAGCTTTTTATTTTGGTGTATTCCTAATTGTTTATTTTTGCTTTTGTTGCCATTACCTTTGGAGTCAGATCCATAAAAGTGTTGTTAAGGTCGATGTCCATGAGTTTACTGCCTTGTCTTCTTTTAAAATTTTAATGGTTTCAAGTCTTACATTTATGTCATTAATCCATTTTGAGTTTATTTTTGTGGATGGTATGAAAAAGTGGTCCAGTTTCATTGTTTTGCGTGTGGCTGTCCAGTTTTCCTAGCACCATTTGTTGAAGAGACTGTCTTTTCCCCATTGTGTGTTGTTTCCTTTGTTGTAGATTCACTGACCATGGGTTTATTTCTGGGCTCTCTCTATTCTGTTCCATTTATCTATGTGTCTATTTTTGTGCCAGTACCATACTGTTTTGTTTACTACAGCTTTGCAGTATAACTTGAAATCTGGAATTGTGATGCCTCCAGCTTTGGTTTTCTTTTTCAAGCTTGCTTTGGCTATTCAGTGTCTTTTGTGGTTCCATACAAATTTTAGGATTGCTTGTTCTAGTTCTGTGAAAAATACCACTGGTGTTTTGATACGAATTTCACTGGATCTGTGGATTGCATTGGGTTCATCATCTTACCAAAGGGAGTTCTTTAGCTCCTTAAAAAAACTCGGCTTTCCGTTGCCAAAACATTCTCATTCTCCCTACAATTTGAGGAAAAGCAAATTTACAAAGAAAGAAAACAAAGAATACAAAAAAGGCAAAAGAGAGTTTTTTTACCCCTTAGCCCCACTCAAAGATGGTGTGCTAGATAATGAATGAGACAGTATTAGTTTGGGTCACAGAACACAGGGACCAATTTGACTCTTTTTGCACAAGTATATTCCAAAGAATGGCATTTCCTGAGCACTAGTGGTTCTGAGCGCCAGGCAACAAAAGCCTTGTCAGAACTGGAAAAGAGGTGATGCCGTCCCCAACCTCACTGCATCCAAACTGTAAACTCCAAAGGCTCCATTCTACACCACAGGTATGTTTACTCCTCCCTCGGGTTTTGTCTGCAGACCTAAGTGCACTGATGAGTTTGGAGACATCCCATCCATGTCGTCAGCCTGGCCCAACGCAACTTTGCTAAGTGCTCTGGAATCATCTCATTCTTGTTCATCGATAGCATTACTTTTCCAAGAAATGGATTAATGAAGGACTCTTGAAGATGTTGAAGGATTTTTCAGACCTAAAGAATGAATTGCCAAGAATAAAGCTGAAGGAGATACCTTTTAGTGTTGGCCTGCCCAGCATCATAGTATGTAGGCCACTCACTCATCCATCAATGCGTACAGTTGATCCTATTGAAACAATCACAGGAACCAGTGCAACATGTCAGTGGCCCCTCCTCGATCTCTATCCCAGGCAAATGTGTGGTGGTAAAGGATGCCAAGGCATGGGAAGGGGCCGGAATAGTCCACTGAAACTGTGTTTAAATGAAGCCAGGTTGTGGGTGGTCCAGAACTCAATCAATGGAATCATACTATAGCTTAGTTTTCATTCCATGATTTTCACCTCTGTCAGTCTTCTCTTTACGGCATAGTGGACACTGAGCAGGACTTGGGAGACAGAACATAAGGGGCTGATTCCTGGCTCTGCCATACAGTAACTGAATGTTAGGTGAGATTTCTAAGTCTCAGTATTAGCTTCCCAGGGGTGCCATAACAAAGTATAACAAACTGGATGGCTTTAACAATAGAAGATTATTGTCTCACAGTTCTGGGGACTAGAAGTCCAAGATCAAGGTGCTGGCAAGGTTGGTTCTTTCTGAGGGGGCTGAGGAAGAATTTGGCCTAGGCCCTTCTCCCAGCTTCTGGTGGTGCTGGCAACCTTTGGTGTCCCTTAGCTTGTATATGCATCACTCACACTCGGCCTTCATGTTTACATGGTGTTCTTCCTGTGTGTACCTCTGTGTCCAAATTTCCCCTTTTAGCAAGGATACGGTCATATTGGATTAGGGCCCACCCTAGTGACCTTATCTTAGCTTGATTATGTCTTTAAAGACCCTGTCTCCATTGGGGCGCCTGGGTGGCGCAGTCGGTTAAGCGTCCGACTTCAGCCAGGTTGCGATCTCACGGCCCGGGAGTTCGAGCCCCGCGTCAGGCTCTGGGCTGATGGCTCGGAGCCTGGAGCCTGTTTCCGATTCTGTGTCTCCCTCTCTCTCTGCCCCTCCCCCGTTCATGCTCTGTCTCTCTCTGTCCCAAAAATAAATAAAAAACGTTGAAAAAAAAATTAAAAAAAAAAAAATAAAGACCCTGTCTCCAAATAAGGTCACATTCTGAGGTGCTGGGAGTTGGGACTTTAACATACAGATTTATGGGGGACACAATTTAACCTGTACACCTTAACTACTTTTCCCATCTGTAAACAGGGATCACAACGCAATTCTTCCTCATATAATTGTCATGGCTGTGAAAATACCTGAAAAAGGCTGGGTCTGCAGGAGGCCAGAGGACATCTTGTCTGTCTGAACGTGTGTGTGCCTTGTGGATGTCTGGATCAGACTATGCCTCTAAGGAGCAGGGCTCAGTCGGGGCTCCCAGCCTGTAAGTGTCCAACACAAGTAAACAGGTGCTTGACCAATGCCTTTTGATGATGGTGAAGATAAAAGGCTGGAGAGAAATATCTGACGACAGGTGAGCCCGGGCTATAAAAAAGTTTGATTCCAAGTGCTGGTGAGGAAGGGGAGGGTGTGGAACCCCCGGACACTGCTGCCTGGGGCGCACCCTGGTATAAATCCTCTGGAGGGCAAGGTGGCATTATGCCAAAGGGGGAAAGCTGTGAGCTGATGCCCTGGCCATTCCACACCTAGGTATGTCCTCTAGAGAAATGCTCATATGTGTGCCCGGGACACAAGTGTAAAAATGTTCAAAACACCATTGTTTGTAGAAAAATAATCTAAATTTCCTAAGTGTGATGTATTCATATAAAGGAAAAACATACAGCTGTTAAAGGGAATGCATAGCTCAGGGATGAATCTCACGAATAAAGTATTGTGCAAAAAAGAACAAGCTGCAGAAGGTCATATATAATGTGTCAGGCAAAACTAAATGATATGTTGCTTCGGATACACATATACGTACATGCATAAAGAGTGAACAAATGTGGGAATGCTAAAATGCCAAATTGAGAAAAGGATGTTATTTGGGGAGAAGGAGTGGTGCAAGGGGAGTTTCGATTATATTTACAATAGTTTGGTTATTTTTTTTTTAACTGGGGTGGCCAGCAAAAGGTGAAGGTTATTCTTTACAACTTTCTGCATGTTTGAATTGTAATACTTTTTAAAGAGCCAGGACTCCAGAGGCCTTAAATAAAGAAGAGGGAGGGGCGCCTGGGTGGCTCTTGACTTCAGCGAGGGCCTTGATCTCACGGTTGGTGGGTTCGGGCCCCACATGGCAGTGCTGAGCCCGTTTGGAATTCTCTCCCTTTCTCTCTGCCCCTCCCCCGCGTGTGTGCTCTGTCTCTGTCTCCCCAAATAAATAAATAAATAAACTTTAAAAAAGAAGAAGAAGAGGGAGATGCTGGGGCGCGGCTTGTGAGGAGATTCAGAGCTGCTCTTGCTGCCCCCCTGGAATCCAGAACCCAGAATAAATAAGACTCTGACATCCGCCACATCCGAAAGGTCGAGACCCAGAAGGGTGAAGCCTCTCCTGTTGACAAGAAGGAGAGGGGGGAAGACCATTTTGAGGCCGCCCGTCTCTGTTCTGAACCTGGCTGTTGGCCTGCCCCCCCAAGCCCAAACTGCAGAGGGCCCCAGGGGAGAAAAGAGCGGGGCAGCCCAAGAGGAGACGGGAGGGCACACGCACAGGGCCGCACGTGCCCCGCATCCCACACGCAGGCTGACTCCCTCCCAACACGCACGCACTGCCTTTCAAACAAGCTGGCACGGACACCCTGACAGTTTACAACACCGTCGCACCCCTCGTGCTTGCAGGCGCCCGCGCGCGCGCGCGCGCGCGCACACACACACACACACACACACACACCCCTTCCACCGACCGCTCCCACCAGGACCCCAGAGTTGGATGCGCTGCAGAACCTACCACCACCACCCCCACCCCCCACCCCCCACCCCCGCCCCTCCTCCTGGAGTGCTGGGTTTTTCCAGCCGGAGCCTCACTCCCTCTACTGCAATCTCGGGGAAATTGGTGTCTGACGCGGCTGCTCCAGCACGTTATTTATTGATTTACTCTGTCCCCCGGGGAGACCCTCCTGTCAGGAGAGCTGCGACCCGGAACTGAGGGAGGCGGGAAGCGGCGGGGCCACGGGTGGCGGGGCAGAGGGGATGGAGACGAGGACGGTTCAGCAGCCCCCGCCCTGCTCATCAAGCTCCGGGAGCCCCGCAGGGGCCACCCGGCAGGAGGCCAGAAGAGTGGAGGGAGACTCCAGGAGGAGGGGACAGGAGGCAGCGCTTCGCGACCGAGCCCCCCTGAGCCAGCAGCGCCGGCTCAGACAGGCCACCCAGTTCCTGCACAAGGACTCTGCCGACCTGCTCCCCCTGGACAGCCTCAAGAGGCTCGGCACCTCCAAGGACTTGGTGAGGCAGCCCTCTCCCCACCCTTCCCCTCTCTCTTCCTATATCCTGGGGAGGGGGCGGAGGGCCGGAAACTGCAGACCCTAACCTTCAGATCCCCCCTCCCTTGCTGAGAGTGGGGCAGAGGTAGTCCCAGGTGGAGGGGCCCCACCCCGACCATCCTCAGACTCTTCACTGGGGGTGCTCCCGTGGCTGGGTGGCTCTGGGGGGCCTAGTCTCCTTGCTCAGTCAGCTTCTCTCACACAGCCCAAGACTTATCTTGGGGATGATGAGGAACTGTGCTCTCTAGGAGAAGAGGCTTACAAGGACACAGGAACCTTCTGGAGCAGTCATTTACTGCTGGGAGGGCCTGGAGGCCTGGCCAGTTTAGGGTTATGGTTTCTCTCCTGTCCCTAAGCAACGGATTCCTTCCTACCAGCTCTGACCATCCATTTGCCTTTTCCCTCCAGAATGGAAGCACTAAGGGCCTCTGTCCTTTCCAGAGCCTCAGGGTTTCATATGGCTCTTGCCTGGGCCACCAGCTCCCTGAGTGCCCCCTTACTTCCTCGTAGGGGCAATGGCCCTTCCAGGCTTCTTTCTTTCCATCTCCCTGCAGCAGGGCCTCCGTGGCCTCCAGAGGGAATGGGGTGGGGGTGTAACAAGGAGGTGAGTGGGTCAGGGGCAGCTGCGTACACTCATCCCTCCCCCACCCCCACCGAGACAGTGGTGAAGAGCATGGGCTTTGGAGCCACGCTGCTTGGGTTCAGATCCTGGCCCTGCCACTTACTACCTTAGGCAAATTGCTTGATGTCTCTGAACCTGTTTCTTCATCTGCTAAATGAGGACGAAATTAGTAGTATCTCCCTCATGGCGTTGCTGTGGGAGTTGCACGAACTAATGCCTATAAGGGGCTTAGAAAAGAGCCTGGAAAATAGAAAGCATTATCTAAGGTCTGAGTATGATTGTTCCTCCAGCTACGACTCCATTTAGCTTGAGGGAGAAAATAAGCTCTGTAGGGCCCAGAGAAAATGGAACCCTCTGTGGCCTGTGGCTCTTCTAGAAGAAAGGAAGGCTTTTGCTTGGAAGCACTCTGTTCCCTCACCCATTTCCTCATCAGAAGGTCTGAGAGGAGGACACTCTTCCAATCTGAAGGGCACGAAGTCAACTCTAGGGGCCTCAGCCAACGCAGTCCCTCATTCCCTTTCCTGACCCAGCCCTACCAGATTCCTCTCGGACGAAATGTTCCTCCTCCAGGAACCCAACCCAGAGGCCACCAGATTCCCAGCCTCATCCCAGCAGCTCCCAAACAGGAAAAGTGACCAGACCGAGATCTCAGTTCAGGGAACTTCGGGGCTGCTCTTGCACACACACAGAGAGCACAGCTGAGAAACAGGGAGAAACGGGACAGCAGGGAAGCTGGTGCTTTGGCTCCCGGTGGCTAGGACCTCTGAGCCTCTATGGTTTGGAGACCACCCTACATCCATCTGGCTCTGGATTAGAGGCTCTGTTAACATTACCATCCCAGCGTGGCAGGTCCAGCCTTCTGATAAGTCCTGAGCTTTTCACCTCACCCCACTGCCTCAGGACGTCCCAAATTGATCTCAAGCAGTTACCTTGTGTGGCTTTGGCAGTGAAGACACAACAGGTTGGGGGGACCCCACCGTCTCCCTCCTTAGGATAACTCTGGAGCAAACCTCACAGCAGTGGGGGCCTGAAGGCTGTGTCCATCGTGGGAAAGGTGGGAGGAGAGCTGGGAACCGCAGAGCTGCTCTTTCCGGCCTGCCCTGTAGTTCACTGCCCTTTTCCCAGACCTGGGTCTCCTGCTGGCAGCCTTGCTGGCGGGAGCAGCAAGTCTCAAGGGGCTCATGAAACCAAGGGTAGAAAAACAATCCCACGTTCCCAAGAAGAAAGGGCAGGTGGAGAAGGATGTGTGGAGCCTGGACAGATAGAGTCATTCTTCAACAAGCATTTATTGAGTGCCTACTATATGTTAAGCTAAGCCTTGGGGTATAAAGATCTGATGTCACAGGCTCTCCAGGCTAATGGGAGAGTAAAAGCCACAAATAACAACTGTGAGAAGCATGACAAAGGGAGCTAAGAGAAGGGATGCTGGCCCCAGCCTGGCGTGTGGAATGAAGAGTACAAAGAGGTCAGAGAGGGCTTCCTGTGTTAATTACAGGACACACATGGAATTCCAGACTTAGATAAAAACCTCTCTCCCAAATAAAGAGTAGCTCCGGAACAAAGTACGTTGAACCAGTCATCCAGTCTGGCCCACAGAAGAATGAGAGTCGTCTCAGGAAGGGGGTTGAACAGGAGCAAATGTGTGGAGGCCAGGAGCAAGCAGCCGGGTACAAGCGGTACAAGTAGGGTCAATGGGGGCAGATAGGCGGGGTGAAGGACAAGGCTGAGGACGAGGCCGTGACCAGGTCATCTGGGCTGTGCATCCCCTGAAAGTTTGGGCTTTATCATGCAACAGGAAGCAGGCATGCTTTGATGGGAGTTTAAACAGGAGTAATATGGTTAGTTTTGTTTTCCTTTTCTGCTTCTCAGACTTTAACATGCACACGAATCATCAGGGCATCTTATTAGAATGAAGCTTCTGATTCAGTAGGTCATGATTCTGCATTTCTAACAAGCTTCCAAGTGATGGCAAGTGATGTTAAAGCTACATATCTGAGGACCACACTTTGAGTAGCAAGGGCTTTATTTTTCTTAAGTTTATTCATTTATTCTGAGAGAGAGCGTGAGCTTGAGCTGGGGAGGGGTAGAGAGAGGGGGAGAGAAAGAATCCCAAGCAGGCTCCACATCGTCAGTGCAGTCTGACATGGGGCTCGAACTCACGAACTGTGAGATCACGACCTGAGCTGAAATCCAGAGTTGGACCCTTAACCAACTGAGCCACTCAAGCACCCGAGTAGCAAGGGTTTTAGATAATCACTGGCTTCAAGCAGGTGTATCTGAGAGACAGCAGTACTGGAGGCCAGTTCTTAGGAACTTAGGGAGGTGGTCCAGTGATCCGGGACAGCTGAGGTGAGGCTTGAATAAAGGCAGTAGTACAAAGCAGGGTTGGACTCTATAAATACAGGAGACAAAGCTGGCAGAACTTAGTAAATTGACCAGATGGAGTGAAGGTGGTTTCAGGCGAGGGATGGTTCAAGCATCCTAGTTTTGAAGATGTGACTTTTTTTCTCTGACTTCCATCACAACATCAACTCTGGGATCTGCAGCCCATTGAAGGATGAGGTCAGAAGGGGAAACAAAGGGGAAAAAAATGTTAAAAATGTGTTGTAGACCTGAGACAAAAAGTTCCCCAAGCATAATACTAGCTCCTGAGAGGTCTTGGCAGTCAATAGGTTGGTCTAACCTAGAATGGACTGTTCTTTTCTCATTTCTTCATTGCTGAGCAATCTATTGGGGTCTCAGCAAAAGGGTATGATTTGATATGAGGGTTCACTCTGCTATAATGATGTGACGGCTGGGACTTGGGTAAGATCCTGCCCCTTTCTTACTCCCGTGAGACGCGGGACTGGGGTGGGGTTGGGTTGAACATCGTGGGAGATCTAAGGTGGGAGAGCTGAGTGGCCTGGATACTTGGGTTTAGACCTGTCTGCCTTCTTTGTTTTGTGACGGAGCCAGCAGCCGCACAGTGTGATCCAAAGACGCCTGGTGGAGGGAAACCAGAGTCGGTTTCAGGGGGAGTCTCCCCCCGCGCAGGCCCCGATTCACAGCCAGGAGAGCAGGAGGAAGACCAGCAAGACACAGATTCCTGCTCTTCTGGTGAACTGCAAGGTGAGAGGCCTCCCAGGGCACTGGCTTTCATGAATGATCCTGTGAACGGCTCACTTCCGCCACTCTCCTTCCTCCCCTGGGTGGTGAGGGAAGGAGGGAGGGAGAAAAAGCACCTCTCCCCCGAGGTTGGACCTAAAAATGGGATCCTGTACATTCTCTACTTTCTACCTCAACCCATCTTCCCTCCGTGCAATTCCACGTGTCCGTGCCAACCCTTTTATCAAATGTAATCTCCAAATGCGCATGTGTAAATACGTGCCAGTGTTTCCCGATGATAGCCTCGTCCTCTCTGGAGCCATTTGACCACCCCAGTGGTACTGAACACCCACCACTCCTCTGCCACCACTTTTGTGGGGCATTTCCTCTTCCTGCTCTCCAGTCTCTGGCCACATTCTAGAACCTTTTAAAGCCTCAAATGTTACCTCTTCTTTGAAACCTTTTCTGATTTCCCCAGGGGAGAAAGAGCCTCCCCTCTCTCTCAATATCCAGGACACTTTATTGACAACCCTTTCATAGACCTTAAAACTTTCTACCATGCATTAGTTACATGTCACTTCCCCTACACCCGAGCACAGCATTCATTGATGTACCTTCCAGCAACATCTCTGGCACATAGCAGGTGATCAGCAGAAGTCTGGATTGAGAAAATGACATGCATTTGGGATGTCCAAGTGTACCCACAAATGTCTGTATATATCCAGAAGAAAGTGAACCCGTCTGTTTCCGTGGTAAACCTGTCGCTTACCCTCATCTGAACTTCCCGGCGAGACAGCCTGGTCTTCTCACCCCTCCTGTATCCCTCACCTAGACCTCTCTAACCTAAGCCCCCAGCTTCCCAAGAATTCCTCTACACAAACAGATCTCCATTTCTGGTCAAGTGGTTCCCAAGTGTATGATCTCCCCATAGACAGCTCTATTTCCTTTTTTGATTCCTCCATCTAAGAGCCAGTTTTGCCTCAACTGCATGAGTGCCATAAAGATCACTCTGAAAGGCTTGGTTCATTCCCTTCACTCGTTTTTGAGAGGGAGTCATCAAAGGGCTGGGAAAGGTGAAGGATCCAAGCCCAATCCATTCTCACTGACTCCCCCGCGACCCTCTCTCTCAGTGCCGAGACCAGGAGCTTCGGGTGGCCGTGGACACAGGCACCCAACACAACCAGATCTCGGCTGGGTGCCTCAGCCGCCTGGGGTAAGAGTGTGGCCTAAAAGAATGGATGGGGGATGGGGTTTCTTTGGGGGGGGGGGTGATGAAAATATTCTGATATTAGATAGTAGTAGTAGTTGCATAACTCTATGAATATACTAAAAACCTCTGCATTTATAAAAGGGTAGCTTTTGCGGTATATGAACTATATACCAATAGAGCTATAATTGGAAAAAAAAAAAAAGATTGGATGGGGGCTCTGGTAGAGAAGACAAGGATTCAGACCCCACGTGGGGGCAAGGGATTGGATGAGAACCCATGTGTAGGGGGAGGGGCGTCAGCTGACAAAGGCGTTGGGGTTGGGGGCTGTGGTGGCCATAACCCTTGCTTCCCAACCACAGGTTAGGGAAGAAGGTCCTCAAAGCCCCAGGTGGGGACGTGGCATCTGGGCCCCCCACGCAGGTGGAGCAGCTGGAGCTACAGCTGGGCCAGGAGACGGTGGCCTGCTCAGCCCAGGTTGTGGGTGAGTCCTCCCTTCATTCACAGCCTCTTCTTCCTCTTCCGCCTTCCTCTCCTGGCACCATGAGGTGCCCCCAATCTCTGGGCCCAGATCCTCAGAGCTGGGGGTGGGGAGGGCAGACAAGGAGTGAGTGCTCACAGGGCACTGTGACCCCTGGGTGCCCTCCAGCCTCTTCTGTTTTCAAACGATTCCTGCAGATGTTGAGAGTCCTGAATTCTGTCTTGGACTGCAGACTCTGCTTTCTCTCAAGGTAAGAAGGATGCGGGCGCTTGACCCACATTTGGGGCCTGACCCAAAGGGCTGGGATAAAGAGGTAAAAGGCACAGGTGAGGAAGCGTGGGCCAGCTTCTGATGAGAATGACTCAGAGTTGTGGGATTTCACCTTGCTTCCTTAGAGGTTCCTTATTTGCCCACAAGTGAAACATAAGAACCAGGTCCCACTGCCCACAACCCCAGAGTTCCAGGTGAATGGAAACGGGGATGAGCAAGGAGCAGGAGGCTGGGGGCTGTGGAAAGTGGGGGGGGGCGGGCGGGGGGAGGGCTGAGGGAGAGGCTACCTGCTGAGAGAAGCACACATTTCTCCCCACCCCCCACAGTGCTGCATCGACCTCGAGCATGGAGTGCTGCGGCTGAGGGCCCCCTTCCCAGAGCTGCCCTTCCTGCCTCTGTACCAAGAGCCTGGCCAGTGACTGATGAACCAGTCATTCCCCGGGGGAAGGACCTTGCCTCGGGGAAGAGCCGTGTTGGGGAATGGGGCATTACTAGAGCCAGGTACCTGGGACTACCACGTCTGTCCCTTCTGTCACCACCCTGACCCTGCCGTCCCATTGGCCTCAGTCAGCCACATTCCTCTCTGCTTCTCAGCAACTGCCCAATCCTCCAGAAGACTTCCAGAAAGAGGGCCCATGATCTCAGGGGACTGGCGTCCCCGTTCCCCTCCAAATCAGGACTGTGGAAAAGGATGTAAGCGTGGCGTGGTAGGAACTGGCCCAAGTCAAAGGCTGCAGCCCATACTGTCCTTAACCTGCCTCCAGATCCACCCCACACACCCCTCGGTGGCCTTCACTCCCATGCCTCTCCCTTTCCCTCCTGGGGCTTAGTACCTTTTGCAACTAGACTGCCACATCTCACCCACCAGGGGTCCTGTCCCTGCTGCCGCCTGCCTTTCTGATTCTGCGCACATCTGCTCACAGCTGAGTGGGGGAAGAAACAGGAAACAGAATACTCTGGTACAGTAGAAAGGCGAGTTGGCAGAGGAGCTTCAGAAGCTTTCTCAGTTACCTTTCCTGGGGTTGCAAATGTCGGAAGTCAGTTATTATTTGATTTCCCTGTGCGAAACCTTGGGTGTACCTCTAGCATTGCTCCAGGTGTCTCTCCTCCTCCACTTGCTTTTTTACACTTCAGGGGGATGGCAAGGAGCCCTGTTGGGAACTGCCCCCACAAGGTGGACAGGATGGCAAGGCCTGGCTGTACTCAGACTTGGAACCTAACCAGTAGTCTTTCTTATTTCTAGAACTACTCACCTCATTAGACGTTCTTCCTTCCCCTCATCTCTGGCCTCCTGAGCTTGAGCTTGTCTTATTTTGGAATCTTATTTTGATCCCTTGCCAGGCTCTGAGCCAAAGCACAAAAACAAGGAGGCTTTTCATCTTCACTGTAAAGAGAGGAACCCAAACCTTAAGGAGCCAGACACCCTGAGCATCTTTCTGGCAGGTTTGAGTCTCTCCAGTCACGGACGAAGGGGAGAGGAAGACAGTGGTGTAACTAACCTCAGCTAGGGAACTAGGACCTTGGGGTGGAAACAACATTGTGAGCCTGGGGTAGATTAGAGGAGAACCAGCTGCCCTGTGACCTCCGGTCTTGCCTTTCCCAGCTGAGTCCCCTGACCTCAAGAGGAGGGGGCTCACTACCCCGCGTGTAATGTGGGTACCCTGGTCCCTCACTGCCTTGCCCCATAACCCCTGCTTTCCTGGCTCTGCCTGTTCCTTCCTGCCTCCTGCTGCTTCTATAACCGCAGACCCCACACCCAGTGGCAGGCCTTCAGCCCAGCTGCTTCTCCACTTGAATAAACACCTGTTTCTCTATGCTCATGTCCTTCTCTGGTTTCCCTCCATGTCGATCAGAGTCCGAATTGGTAACTCTGCCCTTATTCCCTTACAGAAAGGTGATGTGAATGTGGACCTTTCCCCAGATTGACCCGTCTGGCTGGGTTAATATAATTGAGAGCAATGGCTTTCTGACTCCTCTGAACACAACTCACAGCAGGAAATACATTTTACAGAGCAGTTAGCATACACACGCACATGCACATGCACATGTACAGTTATAACAAAACAATACTTCCCTATGCTGTGAGTATGACACTCTGATATTTTTCCTTCTATTTTATTCTACCCCATTTCGTTTATTCAAACTATGCTGACCACAACCCATCAAAGAATCGCAGCCTGTAACGTGAAAAACACTAACTTACGGTGCACAGAATCGAGAGCAGAAGGAATATAAATGGTCCAAGATAGAATTCTGATTGTGGTCTGGATCATAAACCCGCATCAGATTCTAAAGGTGTTTTGGGGGGATGTGGGGGCAAGGCCCACAAAGTTGCACAAGCAACATGGCAAAATGAGAAAGTGCTAGCCCAGTTTCTTTGGTAAAAAGAAGACAATCATCTCAGCGTTGCTGGGAACAATTAAGACCAGACTGTAAGATGATTAAAGACCCCCACTTCAAAAGCAAAACAGTGTGCCATTCCTGTAATAATCCCTAACGTCAGTGACTTGGAGCTGTGCCATGGAAGATGGAGCTTGGGATGCGGGGAGCCCTTATCTCATTGCCCTACAAGCTCCGAAGCCTGGTTTCCTTACAGGCATCGGAGCCATGCAAAGGATCTGTGTTCCCTCCTCATGAACAAGTCTGTTTTCCACACAATGAGAGTTGGAAGTGGTGGTGGTGGGGGGGGGGGGGGGCGGGGTCTAGGAAGGGGGCAGTCCCAGATGATGTGGAATGAGGCTGGGGTTCTATGATTCTGCTGATGTGATGGGTGAGGTACATAAGGAAATAGGGCCGAGGGCCAACTCGCCTCTTCTTTCACCAAGGAGACCATGAAGGCTATAGTTCACAGCTTCCCTAAGGTTGCTGCCATCTTTCCACGCTCCTCTGTGATGTCTACTCCCAATCCTGCCAGCACTATGGATACCTTGGGGGGTGGGTTGGTTCAGGAGGCTCCTTCTTCAGCTAAGGGGGCAAATCCAGCTAGGTGGGATCGTGGAGGCTTGCAGGAGCACACTGTGGGGGCTGGTCTGGATGGTAGAGGGTTTGGTGAAGCAGGGCGCGGACAGCTGGGAGGTCATCAGGATCTGAAGGCAAGAAAGGGGCGGTTCAGAGGCTGTGGATCTCCTGGGCACCTGGCACGGGGCTTCTCGGTCCCGAAGCACTCCTGGGACTCACCCTGGGACTCACCCACGCCCAGCTCCTGCAGCAGGCTCTGGAACTCTGGCTCAGCCTCCAGCAGTTTCAGCAGATTGGTCGACTCCATCCGCTCAAGCTGCACCTCCCAGTACACGTAGATCTTCTGGTTGAATGTGACGTACACGAGGCAGGGGCTGTTGCGGCCCTCCTTGCAGGCATATAGGCCTGCAGGGTGTGGGGGTGGGACAAAGGTCAGAGAGTTCCAGTCCCAGTGGGGAAGGGCAGAGGACAAGATGCAGGCCTTGGAGTCAGCAGTTTGACCCTCCCACAGACGTCAAGCAGAAAGCTAAAGGCCCTCTTTTTTTTTTAATTAAAAAAAAAATTTTTATTTATTTTTGAGAGACAAAGCATGAGTGGGGGAGGAGCGAGAGAGAGAGGGAGACACAGAATCTGAAGCAGGCTACAGGCTCCAAGCCTGTTGCGGGACTCAAACTCCCTAACTGTGAGATCATGACTTGAGCCAAAGTCAGATGCTTAACCGACTGAGCCACCCAGATGCCCCTAAAGGCCCTCTTTCTAATTCATTTGTGTGGGGAACTCAGTAAAATAGGTAAAATACCTCCCCGTTTCAGATATGAGAAAACACCATGGGGGGCACCTGGGTGGCTCAGTCGGTTAAGCGTCTGACTTCGGCTCAGGTCATAATCTCACAGCTTGTGAGTCTCAGCCCCGTGTTGGGCTCTGTGCTGACAGCTCAGAGCCTGGAGCTTGCTTCAGATACTGTCTCCCTCTCTCTCTGCCCCTTCCCTGCTTGCACTGTGTCTCTCTCTCAAAAATAAATAAACATTAAAAAAAAAATAGGTGTTGAGTTATGGTAAGATGGCTTAATAAATTAAAAAAAAAAAAAAGAAAAAAAACCCACAAGGCAGAATGGCCCCACAAAAGTGCTTTGCTGATTTTCCCATCTTAGTGATAGCCTTGGAGGAATGAAGGACAGTCTTGGTAGTCCAAGGGGTAGATGAGCAAAACACGATCAGAAACTAAAGCTGGGCACCTGGGTTGCTCAGTTGGTTAAGTGACCCAACTCTTAATTTCAGCTCAGGTCATGATCTCACAGTTTGTGAGCTCTCTCTGATAGCATAGAGCCTGCTTGGGATTCTCTCTCTCTCTCTCTCTCTCTCTCTCTCAAAGAAAGAAAGAAAGAAAGAAAGAAAGAAAGAAAGAAAAAAGAAAAAAGAAAAAGAGAAGAAAGAAAAGAAAGAAAAAGAAAAGAAACTAAGGCTTCTCTTTGGTGGCAGTCCCTTCTTCAAAGGCATTTTAACCTTCTGGGTCACTGGAGTATGTACACCAGAGCGCTGTACAATTCTTACCATTTCAGCAACCAAAGATCTCCCCATGTCACCTGAAAAAGCCAGGACTGTTTTCCAAGTCCCTGATTTGGAACAAATGCAAATTGTCTGGGAGAATGCTCCTCACAGAGTTCTGACATGCTCAGATGGGAGAGAACTTTCCCATGCCTTCACACATCCCAGACGGGCAGATGATAAGAACTCATCCCATTCTTTAAGATATTGAGAGATGAACCTGTCACTGTCTCCCATTCCTTATTTAAAACTGTGCAGATGGTAATTCAGTACCCACCATCACCCGCTAACAAAAGTGCTGAAGAGCTCATTTGTTTACGAAGACGCACGTTAGGGGACACAGAGAGAGTAGAAATGAGAGGCAGACAAGTGTGGTTAGAAAGGGTCCACGGGGTGGGGTCCCACCTGCACAGAAGGCTCGGATATTCTCGTCCACTTGGAAGCGGACAACGGTGCGGTTGTGATCAATGATATATGTCTGTCCATCCCAGGCACAGGCGACCACCTCCTCATGCCCATTGCCCTGAAAAAGGCCAGAGACAAGGATGCAGGGGTGGCGGGGAGCTGGTAAATAGAAGAGCCCGAACGATGGGTCTGGATAGCACATAAAGGACTTGTGGACCTAGTTCTGGGTGACCAACAGCCGTGAAGGAAAGCAGCCCTAAGTTTCTTACTGAATTTCCTCCATGCGCCAGTCACCAAACAACTGATGAAGGAGACACCATTATTCCCAATTTTATATGGAGGAAACTTCAGCTTATAGAAATGAAGTTGCTCACTCGTGGTCACACAGCATAGAAGGGAGGCAGCACAGAATCAGGACTCAAACCCAGGCCTGTTCTACCGACTTCAAAGCCTCGTGCCTTTTCTCCTACCGTCACACATGCACAACGGCAAAGTATGCCCCCGTGTCGCAGATTATGGGGCTGCAGCCTTGGTAAAGAGAGGCTCATAGATAGACGAGAAAAAAAATTACAGAACATACATCTGGAGTTGAGGCCAAAAACTCACTTCTGGACCCTAATAAATTATTTCTCTTTGGAGCCATTACTCCTGGAAAAGGTGCCGCCGAGAGATTCCGTGGCAGTGCAGAGATGGTACTAAGCCCTGAGAAGTTAGGAAAAAGACTCACTTGAGACGCAGTTAAGAGTCTGTCTGAAGAGACTTAGATAAACATCGAGAGCAAACTGTGAAGTGAGAATGGACTCATTTGCATCACATCTCTCCACGTGAAGAAGGTAAGAATGTTCCTCTCACCGTGACATCCAGTTTCTCTAGGGCAAAAAGCTGATGATCCACCTGCACCGACCACAGCAGCTTGTCCGCTTCCTCCATGAGCTTCAGCGTCCCTGCAGGGTGACAGGCAGGCCGGGGTGGGCAGGACAAGGACCCCTGAGCACACCCCACAGGCACACAGCCTCCTGCCCCAGCAGGAACTCACCATCCAGGGTGCAGAGGGCAAAGAGGCCGGAGCCACCCATCTCAGAGTTGTGGCCTGCAGGAGAGACAGAAGGACAGGAATAAGAAAATGTGAAGGGTAGGGCAAGGTCAGAGCACACAGGGTGGGGTGAGAGGTGGCCCAAGGTAGGGAGGAAGGGAAGGCCCAGCATCTTCCCTCTCCCAGGACTGATGCTTGCCCCTCAGCTCCCTCCTGTGTCCCCACCCCACCTTCACCTCGTTTGATGTTGCCAATGAGGTGGGTGGAGACATTCTTGTTGTGGATGCGGCCGGAAGTCTGGTGCAACATGACATCTCGGGCAGCCGGGGCCTCCCTGTGTGGGGGTGGGGTGGGAGGGATACTAAGTGGGGACCAAATGAGCCTAGTTCTGCAGGACGTTTGTGGCCCCGATCTCTGTACGAGCTTCTAGGATGTGAATCAGCCTGGAAATCTATTGCTGACCCTGTCTGGCCCATGTGGTGAGTAGAAAAGAGAGGGACAGAGCTGCCAAGTTAGAATCTTGGAATCTTTTCCAGGTGCTACGAGATTAAAGCCCAGGATTTCCTGGGTCCTGAAATCATTTTCCTTAATGGGGCAAAGGTGCTGTGCCAGGACCCAGCCGAAGCAGCTCTGCCCACTGCAGTCCTGTCCACTGCCAGTGCATCCAGGAGCCCATCTAGATTCCACACAACCACACCATCCACAGGTCTGCGCCCTTACCTGCTGCCCTCCGGGGCCCCCTCAGAGGTGGGAGGGGGCCCGGCGTCCTTGTTCCAGGTACACAGGAGAATGGCGTAAGCACAGCCTGGCTGAGACACCATCAGTTCAGGAACACCCAAGGGCCCTGGAGTCACTGAAAGACTGTCCACCTGCACCAGGGAACAAGGCCTTAAAGGGGGCTGGGGACAGAAATGGGACCCTGCCGAGAGCATGGGAGAGAAGTGGGGCAGGGGCCCTGGGAACAGCATCCCAGGCTTGGGGGGCAACAGCAGGAGGAAGAATTTGAGTTTGTAGGGTTCCTGCCTCGTGCCATCGTCTCCACATAGCCCATCTGCTTTCTACTGTGCATGCCTCAACCAGGGTCCACACTCTGACACAAAGCACATCACACCCTCAAGCACACTCTTAACTCTTAGCCTGGTGCTCTTTGCCTCTTATTAGTAATTTTCCCCTAAGACCCTGATTTGAAACTCTCTTCTTTGGATTTCTCTCAACAAGGAGATTTTCCCTTCCTCCCACTCTAAACCCTGACCCACGACTGTTCTCTCAAGAGGGCCCCTACAGGAGGGCTTCCTCCCTGCTCCCTGGGCTCCCTGAGCACCCCCCGCTCAGCCTCTCACCTGACCCTCCAGTGTCCACTTCTTGAGTGACACCAGCTGCCCTGTTGGATGTTCAGTGCCTTCACCCAGATCTTCCCAGCGGAAAGCCCGTACCACACGGTCCGTGTAACCGACCACCAGCTCACAACACCCATCTCCATCTGTGGGTCCAGGAAGTAGGACGAGTTTGGAGCCACATGCGTGTTCATCAGCTTGAATCCTACACACACGTCCTCTCCGCCCCCTGCTAACATCACCAGCGTTTGCGCCGAAACCCGGTACAACTTCAGACCCCAAGAGCTGCGCTAGTCCCCTCACACACTTTGTGCTGTGCTTCTTCCCTCAGACACAAAACTCGGGTGTCCTGATTCATGCCACATACCATCACCTTCGTGACAGCTTCTGGCCGAAACATCAGCCCTATATCTGTACGACTCACTCCCTTGCCACTTTCAGTGTCTGATCAAATGTCACCTTCCCAGAAAGGACTTTCCAGATAACTCCATTTTGAATTGGTAGCTCTACTTCTCTACCCTGACACTCCCTAGCCTCTTTCTGTGGTTTATTTTCTCCACGGCACTTACTACATTCTAATATACTATTTAATCTTCTTAAAATATTTTACACTGTTTATTTTCTGTCCTTCCTAGGAAAGGTCCAAGAAGGCAGTGATTTTTGTCCATTTTATTCACTGCTGCAATCACAGTGCTTAGAATGATAACTAGTTTATAATGGGAGCTTAGTAACTCAACATAAAATGCATAATAATTGCACCCATGAATACTAACTACCTCCCTGAATCCCGTGACATCTGCTCTACTACCCATTGACTCCTATTCCCCTGGCTGCCTGCGGAGAGAGCCATGCCCACCGATGTCGCTGATCAGCATGACCTTGGTGTTGGCAGGGATGTGCTGCTTGAAGACTGGATGCTGCTCCTCTCCCATTAGGGTCTCGTGGTGCCCAGAAGCATCCAGGGCCTTGGTAGGCGTCAGGTCACACAGGTGAAACCATCCCTCAGCACTCACCGCCACCACCAGGTTCTGGGAGAGGCAGAGGCATAGGAGGGATGGCTGGGGAGGGAAGTTTGGGCACAAGCCTGGTCGTTAAAGGACAGAAGTGAGGGCTAAAGCCTTTAACTCTCCACTGATTTCCACCAGGAGAGGGGGAGCAATCTAGGCAAAGCCTTGGAGTTCTGCCGAAGTCCCAACGTCCCTTAGAGTTCTTACCTTTCCTTTATTACAAACATCTCCAACCCCAACACAAGTCAGCTGCAAAGAAAAGGGGAGACATGCTGAAGGAGACCAGTACTCTCTAATCTCAGTGAAGCAAGGAGAGGGTTTGCTAACTACCATCATTTGCTGAAAAGTTGTGCCACATGACCTACACAGATAGTTCGTGTTAATCGCGTTCTTGTGCTCTAAGTCTGGTTTACCTAGAGCGGTAGGGAGACCTCAAGTAGTTAAGTCTGTCTGGGCTGAACAAGACAAAACAAAAGATACATCTAATACAACCAGTCTATCATATTTCTAGACTTATGCAAAGTATTACCCCCATTTTGTACTATACTTTATGAGATCAGATGACCTTGGCAGTTTTTAAAGTACTGAGAGCCACGCGGAAACAGAAGATAAAAAACAACCCACCAGCTGGAGGCGCACTGCCCAGCGGCTTCCCTCCCTGAATTGAATGAACCCTGAAGCAGTGGCTGGCTGAATAGCTGGTGAACTGGGACACACTGGTGGGTTTCTGTATGGCTCAGCCTTGATAGTCCCTGCACAGAAAGGATCCTTCTGCCCCTTACGCCCCAGGAAGTTGAATACTGACCATGCCCTGGCAGGAACAGGTGAGCCACGGCCGGCTGTCATCATTCTTATACACAAACAGCTTCCCGCTGGTGTCCCCCACCACCAATTCATTTAACTTCAAACGGAGAGAGAAGACAGTGTTAGGATGGAATCCTATGGAACCACCTGAAGCTTTTTTCTAGGCCCATCCTGGGGACATCATAAGACCTTAATTTGTATCTTCACCAACTTTAGTAAAAATCTTTTGCAACCAACAAAGCTACAGTTTTCCAGTTTCTTTTTTTTTTTTTTTAATTTTAGGGATAAGCATTGGGTGTTGTATTGAAACCAATTTGACAATAAATTTCATATTTAAAAAAATTTTTTAAGTTTATTTATTTTGAGACAGCAAGCGTGGCCTTGAGCGGGAGAGGGGTAGAGAGAGGGAGAGAGAAAAATCCCAATCAGGCTCCACATTATCAGCGTGGAGCCTGATAAGCCTGATGTGGGCTTGAACTCACGAACCATGAGATCATGGCCTGAGCTGAAATCAAGAGCCGAAATTAACTGAGCGAGCCACCGGGCACCCCTCCCAGAGTTTCTTTTTTTCCCTGTCGGGGTGTGTGTGTGTGTGTGTGTGTGTGTGTGTGTGTGTGTGTCAGAGGAGGATAGCAGAATGGGGCAACACGGAATCTATGACTCTTCCCAGAAAAGTCTGACAAGTGAATAGCTCCATGACCCGCTTGCCTCATTTCAGCTCTTCCAATCTGTCCATTGCCAATGGGACATGTTTTTTTTTTCAACATTTATTTATTTTTGGGACAGAGAGAGACAGAGCATGAACGGGGGAGGGGCAGAGAGAGAGGGAGACACAGAATCGGAAACAGGCTCCAGGCTCTGAGCCATCAGCCCAGAGCCCGACGCGGGGCTCGAACTCACGGACCGCGAGATCGTGACCTGGCTGAAGTCGGACGCTTAACCGACTGCGCCACCCAGGCGCCCCGGGACATGTTTTGAAAACAACCTAGAACATTGAACTTTTGGAAAATTGAACTTCAGACCACATACTTAATCAAGGGCCAAATAAAAAGACAAGGTCAGCTCTGGGGGCCCTCCTTCCTCTACAAACATCTCCAACCCCAACACAAGTCAGCTGCAAAGAAAAGGGGACCTTTTGAACTTGTATGAGTGAATATATACAGGGGATGGAGGTGCTGGAGGGGACAGCACGAAGGGGTTGCTGGTGTCAGCCTCCTCTGTGCTCTGGACTTCTGGCGCCCCCAAGTGGTGGCTCAGCTCTCAGGAGGGGGGTTCCCTGAAGGGAGTCTCTTCCTATTTGTATTTGGGTACTCCATTTCCCAGTCATTCAGCAAAGGCTGCCTGCCTTTCTAGGGGTAAACAGTGATAACAAAGTAGCACCAAACCCTGTTTCCACAAGTAGCTTTCTGATTTCCCCTGTTGAGGAGTGGGAGGGTGGTGGGGAGGGAAGGGGGGGGGGGGGGGGCCAGCCAACACCCCCTTGCTATTCTCAAAATAGAGTGAACATCAGATTCTCAAGAGATTTAATTCTAAAGGCAACAAAGACATAACAGGTCACAAGTAAAGTTAAAAATGAATTGGGATTTATCAATGATTTACTTGATTTGAATCTTCGATTTATTTTTTTAATAGTTATGGGAATTATATTATATTATATTATATTATATTATATTATATTATATTATATTATATTATATTATATCTGGTGGGAATATTAGATCACAGAAGCATAAAACAAGTTTATTGACATTAAACTCTCTCCACCTGATGTTTCCATTTCGGCTGCTCCAGAGGACTTTGGTAGACACACCAGGGGCAGGCTGCATAGCACAGAGGCTCAGTGCAGCTGCCTGGATTTGAACCCAGCTCTCTATGCTTAAATTTTGTCATCTATAAAACAAAGATCATAAGGGTATTTACTGAATAAAGTTGTTCTAAGAACTGAGCTAACAGAGGAAGGCCTTTAAAACAGTGACTGGCAGGGGCACCTGGGTGGCTCAGTCAGTTAAGTGTCCGACTTTGGTTCAGGTCATGATCTCACAGTTCATGGGCGCTGTGCTGATGGCTTAGAGCCTGGAGCCTGTTTCAGATTCGGTGTCTCCCTCTCTCTCTGCCCCTGCCCCACTCCCACTCTCTCTCAAAAGTGAAGAAACAATAAAAAACAAACAAACAAACAAACAAACAAACAAACCAGTGACTGGCATACAGCAAGCACTAATACCAGGTGGTTTTCAGCCTCTAGTTAAAAGGCCTCCATGGCTAGGGACCCTGGTATCTTTCACACAATCTATTCTTTTTTTATACATCCATTCAGCAAATGCCATAGTCCATACCAGCACCTCAGTAAATGTTTGCTTTTCTTTTAAATTAAATTTGATTTTAAAAAAATTGTTTTTTCATTTTTGAGAGAGAGCGTATGTAGGGGAGGGGTAGAGAGAGTAGGACGGAGGACCTGAAGTGGGCTCTGTGCTGAGCACAAAGAGCCCAATATGGGGCTCGAACTCATGAAGCATGAGTTCATGACCTGGGCTAAAATCAGACACTTATCTGACTGAGCCACCCAGGTGCCCCAAATTTAATTTAATCTGAGAGAGAGAGAGAGTGCGAGTGGGGGAGCGGGGCACAGAGAGACAGAGACAGAGAGACAGAGGGCGAGAGAATCCCGAGCAGGCTCCATGCTCAGTGAGCAGCCCAGCACAGGGCTTGACCCCATGACCCTGGGATCATGACCTGAGCCTAAATCAAGAGTTGGACACTCAACTGACTGAGCCACCCAGGTGCCCTGATAAATGTTTAATTACTAGACAATTAACAAAAAAGATTTTAAGAAACAGAGAAAAATCAGAATGAAAGGGAATGCTCAGTCAGCCCTTGAGTTTCCAGGTAAAGGTAGATAGTGAGTTAGGGGTACACAGATAAATGCCACAGACTCCCTACTGAGGGGGACCTTACAGTTTTAACAAGGGCACAGACATGGGTATGGTAAGAGCAGTGACCAAGTAGATGTGGCCCAGCCAGGCAATGACAAGCAAGACCAAGCAATGACACTGAGGCAATGGCTGGCCTCCTGGAAGAGGACATTTCCAAACTAGCCCATCTGCTTCCCGGCAGCTATAATGCTTCCCAGCAGTTCTGCTTCCCTGCGGCTGATCCTGGCTCTGGCCTCTGGAGGTCACTCACGGACGCTAAGAAACCCCAGCTAGAGGGTACAGTCGCCATATAATACTAAAGGAGGCAGGAGGAGAGATCTCTGGTCTGCTATAGCCTTCTACAGATTTTCCCCTGGTGTAGCCAGGCTTCCATGGGCAGTCCTACAGGGTGTGCATTCTATTCCTGGCTTCCCCTCCCCCACAACTTACCAGGAAACAAATTAGTTTCAAAGAACTTTAGGCTAATGATTTATGAGGATGAAATAAGTCTTTTTCCTGCCCCAAATGCTGAACTAATAACAGCGTTTCTATCCACACTCATGCAGGCCGAATGTACCACGTGCATACATACATGTACCACTAGGCAACGATCTCAACTACTTGCCCTTCTTTCAATTATATTTATCAATAACATGCAAGGCACTTCAAATTGCTTTGAGACAAATAATCACATTTGCTTTCCATAACAATCCTCATTTATTCAACAAACATCTGAGTACCTACTATGTGCCAGGCACAATTCTAAGTGTTGGGAATATAGCAGTGAAAAAGCAGATAAATCCCCAGCCTTATGGGGCTTACAACTCAGCGTTAAAAAAAAAAAAAGTAGTACAATATATCTAATATTGTAGAACTGAGTGTATTGGTGCAATCTACCCAGAAAAGTACAATTTCCAAAAAAGCTGATGCCATGAAGCTATGAAAAAAGGTAGGTATTTTTCCCTTTTAAACAAAGAAGACCATCAGATAACACGGAAAATCATGTACGCCTAAAGTCACTCTGTTAATTTACTATTTGAAAATGCCTCTCTTGATTTTCTCATAAAATTGTACTGCTTGGCATATTACAAAATGTGAAAGTCCAAAAAACAATACAAATTTATGAGAATAACTCCTTCCTCCCTACAGGGAGTAGAGCCAAAAGAGGCTTCATAAAATATCTTCTCTATCACAGCACAAAGGAGGCTGGGGGCAGGGGTATGTTTTAGCCCTTTTTTCCCCCAGGGAAGAGAGCACAGAACAGTTAGGGACGTGAGGATGAGAAGCCGGCAGAATAGGAAGGTGGGGCAGAGGGTAGGAGAGGATGGCAATAAGGTGCTTTGCATTAAAAATAGGGAATAATGAATGAAAAGAGTCTGTTAAGAGTGTCTCACACCAGCAACAGCCCCCATCCCCTCTGATGCTCCACCTCAAAACTCTACATATTTTCATCAGTGCACCTCCTTCCATTTCGTTGTTCTGGTGACTATCACCCTACCTGACTGTGAGCTAGCTGAGGGCTGGGACTGTCTTGTTCATTTTGGAATTCCCAGAATATAGCAGAGTCCTTGGCGCACACAATGGGCACTTGAATAAACATTTGCAGAAACAGAATCAAATACTAACAACACCAACACTTGGTGTTAACTGTGGGCTAGGCATAGTTCTACCTGCTTTATCTGTATTAATGCATTTCAACAACGAGAAAAAGAACAGCTGCGGAGATGGCAGATGTCAACTGTTTTTGTAATCCAACCAAGGTGTAGCGCTTTCAAGTTGCCATACGCTTGGTGTACTATGCAGCAGGCATTACAGAAACCAGGCATTACAGAAACTCGGCATTAGGAATGGGGTGGTGGGGTGGAGAGGCAGAAAAGTACAGCAGTGTGTTCCGGCGCAAGGAGCCACGTGTAAGAGCAGCAAAGGCGCGTTTTAAGCTTCTATGGAGGCTTCGAAAGGCAAAGTGATTTGAGGTGATGCCCCTGCGTAAGGAGGGAAGCAGTGAGCCGGGATATCTGGCCACCGGTTTACCAGGCTCCTACTGTGAACCAGTTACTGACTTAGGCAAAGGATCAGTTATCTATGTCCCTAAAAGAACACCAGGGCAGGGAAGCAGTGCAATTCGGACCTGACTTCCAGGCACGTAAGCTATCTGCCAAGTTCTCCTTAGGTCACCGCGCAGCCCCACCGCGCACGCGCTCCGCTCCCCCCGCACGCCTAGGGCGGCTACTCCATTTCCCCGGCCCCGCCCTACCCTGGCGCAGAGCCAGGTCGCGTCTCTCGCAGTGCGCATGCACTGACCGTATCGTTATCCACGTCTCCGAGGCAGATCGCGTGCGGGAAGAGGCTCCCGCTAAATTCCAGGGCCACGCGTTGCACGTAGCTAACCGACCTCATCGCACTTGCACGGGCCGAGGGACCTGGGAGGCCCGCTAAATGTTCCCCGAGCCCCTCCTGAGAGCAGCCCAAGCGGAAGGCCAGCCAAAGCGGAAAGTCACGTCACCACTCAAGCCTCCAATTGCGGCCTTTCTCGCTTAACCTGAAAGAGGAGGTGGGTCTTCCTAGCCCTCTGAACTTGGGGGCGGGCTTATCTGATGTGAGTGACAGGGGCATGGGCCACTCCTAGCCTGGGTAGACCAATCTTGATTGGGGGTGGGGGGGGCGATCTGTTCCCCAGGCAACAGGCTGTCCGGGGTTAGACCTAATAACCTTGACCTCTTCCTTTGTTGCCCTAGCATTGAAGTCTCCAGGCCATTAGACTAAACCAGGGAATCATAATAATCGTAATAATTGACAACTGTTTGGTTTCCAACAGTTTTTTTTTTTTTTTTTTTTTTTTTTTTTGAAACAACTATAAGTTACCTGTTAGGAGCTCTGCAAACAATGTAGTGAATTGAACCAGCATTTAAAAAAAACAATAGAATAGAAAATACCAAGTGACTCTAGAGTAGTAAGTATTCTTTTTGTGAAACCTTTGTTTCAATTGTAAATATTTATATATGTATATTTTATATACTGGCTTATCACGTGAAAATGACTTTTTAAATGGTGTGTGTATGCTTTTGTGGTCCTTAGTTAGAAAGGTCCTTAGTTACACTTGCTGTAAAGCACATTTCATGTATATTGTTTCACGTAATGAGCACAACAACCCTGAGAGCTTGTATTATTATTCAGTATTTTTGGATGAGAAAAACAGGTTCAGCAAGATTAAGTAAGTCTTTCTTTGGGGTGCCTCATCAATCAGGGCATCAGAAGTATTATTTGCAAAATTCTGTAGTTCAATACACTTTAAAGTTCAGATCTGCAGCTCTAGGCCAATTATGCACTGGTTTTTCAGGAGCCAACATTGTAAAAATAATATCTACCTCACCTGGGGATGTTGGACCAGGGGCTGGTCCCGCTTTCTATATCTGAGCATGATGGGAGAAGGCACTGAAAAGCAGGACATTTTTGCCTGGGAGTGTGAGAGGGGGATGACATTTTGTCCCAGAGGTCCCAATGGATCTGACAGCCAGGTAAGATGAAAACAAGGAAGAGCAAACAAAACGGTAAACAGGAGGCAGTCTAGACAAACGCTGGGGACTGCAGAAACATTCATGTTTCTGTTTTTGGTGATACATATACTGTGTGGTTGGCCGGGTCTATTCAAAGGTACTGTGTCACACAGGTGTACCTAATGCTTTAAATATATTATCTAATTACGGAGGGGCTGCATGCAACCTCCGGCTACCATGTCTCTATCCTTCTCCCATTGTAGCTGAAACCTTAAGCTTCATTGTTGGTTTTAAGGGGTAGGAAAATAAAAAGCCAATTTAAAAATGTTTACCTCTCAATGTAAAGTTAAAATGTTTTGGGTTCTGTTTCTTCTTACTGTTATTTCTTCATTGTTTTCTCTTCTTCCAGCCTTTTGAATGAAATTGTAAAATAAATAAATAAATTCATAAATAACCCAGGACAAAACTGCTTCTGCCACCAAGTGCCTTGGCCTGACCCAGTTCTCTGAAATTATACCCTGACCCAGCACTTTGCAGTGCCTCAGTTTTATCTTCTCCATTACTTGAGTTTCTTGTTCTTGACCTTTCTGTGCCAAGGGGCGCCTGCTAATGTTTGTCCTGTAGGTCATGTCATTATGGTATTATGTTACATGGCAACTTGGATACCATGCCTTTTAGCTTTTGTCAAGAGAACCAAATGAATTTAGAAAGGGAGGAAAGATAAGTCTTCAGGAAATATGACATGGACCAAGTCCCTCTCCCCACTGTGTGTCAATTACTGTAACTGCCTTGTGTTATATTCACAGTAAGTGGAACACAGGGGTTGCACAGCCATGTGGACAGAGCCCTGGTTCCACAAGGAGCACCCATGTTCTTGACCCTTTCTAGGGGGATGGTTGGTGGGTCTCCACTGGCACCATCTAGAGCTCGCCTTTTTAAAGTCAAGCACTCTTCCAGTATCAGTTTTGGCTTACTCTCCAGAACTGCCTAACCAGGCCATCTTCCTGGTTAGATGACATGGTACAGTTGTGTGGGTAGTGGCATGTCTTTACCAACCAGCCAAATGGTAGCTTCAGTAGAAACCTGCTATGGGAGTGGGGAGTGGCGGGGAGGTGTTAGGTGGGAAGGATTTCTAGGGAGATTCTTTGTCCACTTCTTCCTCCAGGAGTAGACCCCAGTAGAGGGGTCCAAGTTCTGTCTGCTTAGGAAGGCCAGGTAAGAAATAGGACCTTTAAGACTTTCTACACAGCTTTCTATACGTGAGGTGCAGAGTCACTCACCGTCCTGGGGGGGCAGGGCCTAGGGCTTCCTAATGGGCTCAGTTTGAGACTTCCTCATTCTCCTTCGTGATCTACAGTGCACCTTAGCATACTAAAGATTCTGAGAAGTCCTCAAAGACAGAAACCTGTTTCTCAAACTGACTTGACCCAGAAATTAGGTAGAATTAACAGTGTGGGCAGCCCTGCTCTGAGTGAAATGCTGTTATTTGCTGCTCTCCTTTTGAGTCCCACCCCCTCCCTCACAAGTTTGGCCCGTTAGAAGGGACCACCCACTCTGGGAAGCTTTGATCCTAGAGCCTGTCTGCGTTGTTGTCTGGTTTTTGTTTTGTTTTGTTTTTTGATGTTTTAAGTAATCTCAACACCCAACATGGGGCTCACAGTCACAGCCCTGAGATCAAGAGTCACATGCTCTACCAACTGAGCCAGCCAGGCACCCCAGGGTTGTTGCCTGTTAAAAGACTCTTCTGGCCATTCACTTAAGGATGAAGAGTGGTCCTTCATGGTCTCTGAAGTCAAAACATGAGGACATGGGCTTCAAACACAAAGGATGATGAAAATGTTTTAGAACTAAACAGAAGTGGCAGTTGTACAACATTGTAATTAGACTAAATACCACTGAATTGTTCACATTAAAATGGTTAATTTTATATTATGTGAGTTCCACTTCAATTAAGAAAAAAAATATGTATATATACAAACAATTTTATGTGTGAAGCACTCCTAACAGGGGCACAGGAGACTGGTGATCCTGGAGCCCACATGTCTTGGGGGAGGGGGATGGGGTATGGCCAGTCCTCTCTTCTAGCCAAAGAAGTCTGAAAGTTCATGAAGGCGTTATTAATATTATTATTTTTTTAATTTTTAAAAAAAAATTTTTTTCAACGTTTTATTTTATTTTTGGGACAGAGAGAGACAGAGCATGAACGGGGGAGGGGCAGAGAGAGAGGGAGACACAGAATCGGAAACAGGCTCCAGGCTCTGAGCCATCAGCCGAGAGCCTGACGCGGGGCTCGAACTCCCGGACCGCGAGATCGTGACCTGGCTGAAGTCGGACGCTTAACCGACTGCGCCACCCAGGCGCCCCAGGCATTATTAATATTATTATTATTTTATGTTTATTTATTTTTGAGAGAGGGACAGAGCATGAGCAGGGGAGGGGCAGAGAGGGAGACACAGAATCCAAAGCAGGCTCCAGGCTCTGAGCTGTCAACACAGAGCCTGATGTGGGGCTCGAACTCATGAACTGTGAGATCATGACCTGAGCCAAAGTTGGACACTTAACTGACTGAGCCACCCAGTAGCCACCCGCCCCTACTATTATTATTTTTAATGTTTATTTATTTTGAAAGAGAGGGACAGCAAGCAGGGGAGGCAGAAAGAGAGAGGGAGAGAATCCTAAGCAGGCTCCATGATGTCAGTGCAGACCATGACTCTGCTGTGGGGGCTCTATCCCACAAACTGTGAGATCATGACTTGAGCAGAAACCAAGAGTGGGAGACTTAACTTACTGAGCCACCCAGGTGCCCTGGCATTGTTTTTTTTCTTGATCATCTCTCCTCAGAAACACTTTGTGAATCTTTCATTCTTACTTTGCCTCCCAAATTGGTGTATTTAGTGTTGTGTCATTACACGCTAAACAAGGTTTTATTATGAGCCTTAGATTTTATAGTTGAGGATAGTGGGTGCATCCAAGTTATGTGAGGTTGGCAAGCAGCTGGGGAACTACAGCCATAAAGTCAGCAATAGTGATTTCCAGAAAGAGGACAAGTTCTCTTATGTAGATCTTTCCTTTGGCTTTATTCAGCACTGCCCTTAGCCTCTTTCATTTCAGCTTAATGGTTACAAGGCTCTGAGATGATCTGCGCTTGGAAAGGGAATGGAAGAAACATGGAAGACAGGACTAAGATGTGAGATTCCACTCTTTTAAGTGAAATGACATGCACAATTTCCCCCTTCTACTCTTCAGGTGGTGTGGCCAGTGTAGAGTGAAGGAGTCCAGTGCTCTGATGCTGGTGTAAGGTTGGCAAGGTTGTGCTGGGTCCCACAGTGGCTGTGGACTACAGTAAAGTTTGTAACCTTCAGACTAAATGGGATAGGAAAGGATTTTAAGCAGTTGGAGAGGTAGGATTTGGATGCAGTGTAGAGTCAAGTGCACCTGGGGCAAGAGAGGATGCAAGACAGGAGGAACCTTTTGCAGGACAGGAGAGTGGGCTGGAGGTGCCTGGTGACGTTGGAGAGGGGCTGCTGGGATGAAGATGGGAAATACTCAGGAGATAAACTGTATAGAACTTGACATTAGGATCAGCAATAGGACAAGATGAACCCTATCTCACATTTTTCAGAGACTGCAAATCTGCAGGAACAGCTAGCAGTGCTGGTCACTACTGGTTTTCCTTTATTCAAGCATTGTCTCCGTATGGGAAGATTTTAAAGGTTGGTGAGGGTCAATGGACTAGGTTATGAACTTTGAACATGGGTCAGAGCAGAGTGTAAGTACATGCTGGGTCTGTTTTTAATCCTAAAGACTTCTGGCCACTTAAACATCTTCACAAGAGTTTTAATGTTACATAAAAGACTTGTCCAGTTCCATAGAAGTGCAATTGTTTGAAATTCCCGGAATCCCACAGAACCATTCAGGGGTATTAGAAACCTCAGGAGTGCATTTCATCCACTCCTCTATTTTTGCAGATAAGGAAATCTCAACTTGCCCAAGGTCACGTAAACCTCATATTTAAGAGT